TTGGCACTGTGGGGGAGGGATTGAAACAGTACTGCCCATTTGGTGGAGTTGCCCTCTCATAGTTTCTTTCTGTAGGACGAAAGATGAAAAAATACCTGAAATTACAGATTTTATTAGAGAAGAAGTTATGCATTTTCCCTTTCTCCAATTCTAGTTGCCAATTACAAAACAAAAACCTTAACTGAGCATCTTCTAAATACTGCTAAATTATGAACTACATCTCTCTTGAAGACATCTGTTGTTTTCACCCTCCAATAATGGAAGATAAAACTTGAAGCATTGCATTCTAAAGAGTCTTTCACATCTTCTCTGTAGGGTGGGTTGGATCTGGTTGGTCAAATTTGGTTACCTTGGACTGAGTTTCTTTCTTGCACTTCCCCTACTTAAGTATAACACTTTATACTTTTTTTCTGACCACCATACATGATCTACTTTCTTCCTTTATTGCCTGTCTTCCCCCCTCACCTCTGGTCTTAAATATTTTTCTATACATACTTTTAGATTTAGTATTTTATGTTGTTACATTTTTTTTTTTTTTAAATTCTTTATTTTTGTTGTGCATGTTTTAACAACGAGCGTGTGTTGCCACAGCAGCAGTTACACGCAAAATCGTACATTTCAAACATGGCAAATAATATGACTGCACATTTTTATATATTATAAAACAGAAGTGATATGCATACGGCATAGAAACATGTGTGGTCTATTTGTGCTAACAATAGGAGGAACAGGTAGTAGTCGCTTAACGGCTAGCACATTACAAAATATAATATATGAAACTGGTAGAGATTAGTCGCGCATTTTTAAGTATGTTTGATCTATCTGTGCTAACAATAGGAGGAACAGACAATAGTCGCTTAACGGCTAGCACATTGCAAAATATAAGATATGAAACTGTTAGAGATTAGTCACACATTGTATTTATATAGTCTCTAGTACACCTTGTGGACAAGGTGGAGTCAGCAGCTAACGCTTAGATTGTAATGGCAAACAGGACATGTCTCTGCTTCCCTATCTACATGAAATGAGGTTCCACTGGGTGGCCTGGCAGGTGATCTGTTATTGCTAAAGTGGGATTCATAAAGGCACAGGGTGCCAACGCATACTATTTAGCATGAGGTCGTAGTGAGGGGGGGTGTGTGTACTACTGCTTGGGCCCAAACTGGGGGCTTAGTTATGCAGGCCAGGAGTCCCTCAGCCTATGCCTGTTACGGGCATCGGTGGCAGATACTTGCTGTGTCCATATAAAGCTCGCTGCCCAGTGGGGCCCCCTGGTTTAGTTCCATCTGTGGTGTTTCTGTGTGAGGCGTCCTTCTGTACAGCCACGTGGTGCTCAGCCATCTTCTCCGGGCGTAGAGTTGTGAGTAGGTGGTGTGGCTGCAGGGGTGGCTCGTTGATCCAGCCGCTGTGTGCATGGGTGCGAGTGCGTGGGTTCCGGCAGCCTGGTACTATGGTCCGCCATGACGGGTTTTGGCGCCTTCGTGGCCATTTAGATGGCCTGTTGGCTTGGAGTGGGTATCTGTAATGGCGTCTGCGGGTCACAGGGCGGATCCATGAGGCGATCGTTCTGGCTGCCTGGTTGCCGGACACTCCGCGGTGGCGAAGTAGTGTCCAGAGGCCCTTGCAGAGCCTGTCAAAGCCCTCCATGCAGCCAGCGGGTGGTGTGACGTGTGCGCCCGCCAATCTTGGCTCCTGCTGGGCATCCATTTTGTGTGTACCTTGGTGGTCCAGCGTTCCTGCCGGCGATGTAGCCAAGGGGCAGATCAGCCTGCCTGGTCTGTCTGTCCAGTGGGGACCGGGATATCCCCCACCGGTCCAAAGGGGGGGGGATTGGAGACCCGCTTGGTTGCTTGGGGTGTCCGGTGTCGGAGAGAGCGGCCGCCTCTCCCCGGCCCCGGCTTCTGTAGGCCGCGCTTGGTGTCCCGCTTATATAGCTCCTACGAGCTCCAAAAAAGTCTCATTCGGTTCAGGGGTGCACCCCCGACGTGGGTGATGCACCCTGGCGGGTCTTTGGGCTATTTAGCCCTCGTTTGTGCCGCTTTTCCTGCCCGTCGAGCAGGAGCTCGTGTCCCCTGCTTCTGCTCGGTTCAGCGGTCAGGCTCTGCCCCTATGTTGTTACATTTTAAAATGATTATTATTCAAAGTTGGCCTGATGGTGTTTGTTTTTAAACTTCAATAGGTCCTCTCTTATAAAACTGATCAAGATTATACATTTAGCATATATCTCTTTATTCACTCTTTTTTTCTTTCATGAATTTACCAAATATTTTAGATAAAGATTGTTGGAAAAAAAACCATATATGATAATTTATACTTTTATAAAATAGGTACTCATTAAACAGACACTCCACTACCTAAATACTAGTAAATACATTTTAAAAATTCACTGTTTAGTAGATATACACACAATAAAAACATGCATGCATTATAATTATTTTTTAAAGGGGAATATTTAAAAACAGTGTGTAAAGGCTGCAGACCTCTTACCTGGAGCATTCCCTTCTAACCCAGATTTTCTGTAGTTGTCCAATCATACATTCCATTTAACCCCTTAAGGACCAAACTTCTGGAATAAAAAGGAATCATGACATGTCAGACATGTCATGTGTCCTTAAGGGGTTAAGCTCGATGAGAAGTCTTTGCAATGCAGATGCTCTGAGCAATTGCTGCATCTTGAGTTTAGCTCCACTCAGCTATACAACCAGGACGTTACAGAACTGATTGTCTGTTGACAGCCATGGGGTGTAACAAGGTCAATTTATAAAAGTGCCAATTTCTATATACCAATAGTAAAATGAAAAAAAAAAAGAGGAACACACATGTCTTCACTATGATTTTACAATATAACAATACACAGTGTTTGTTTTAAACCAAATATCAATCAAGCATGCTTCATTGTAGGAAACTGTATGGAGTAAGGGGAAAAATATTGAATTTTTGTCTAGAGGAGACACTGGATGGATTGTAAAAGGATATACACAAGCAAACCATTGCCCAAAAGTGTGTATTAATTATATGCAACATAGTTTTTCACCAAGCGCTAAAAATTATATTTCTGTAATCAATTCGGCCAATAGGAGCACAGAGAAATAGATCACGGATGTCAGAAACAAATAAGATTGTGCAGAATCCATAGTCACCTGTATTAATAGACAAGGACTGGAGTATGAAATTGGAAAATGTGAACTGCAGAACCTTTTGGCTAAGTGGCTAGAACTATGGATGACCAGAATGCATCGTACTGCCTGTACTATCAATCATCGATGGTGGTCTGCATCTTTCTCTTTCTGTCTCTCTCTCTCTCTCATTTCCTTGCTCGCTATGCCTGCAGTTTTTTTTTAAGCTAAAATTTACTTTTCCTGTCTGATCTTAATCTCTGCACCCTCTCCTTTGCTGTTTTTCATAGAGCAGCTGTGTCAAAACTCAAAATTTAGCACAATTTCTCAGCAATAACTTACAATGATAAATCTAAAAATGTTCACTAATCATTTTTACAGAATACGTTAACTCCTGCAATGCTGTATGTAATTCAAATTACAGCATCACTGTTGTGCAGATATTTCTTTATTACAGTAAATGGTTAATGTCTCAGTCACACTTTCTAGAAATTAAATTATTTTCTGACAAGGAAATATTTTAGATCTATGTTATATTTTTTATTGTCATAAAAACAGTTTGTCGTGTAACACCTTATGGTTTTCTAATAAGGTAGGAGCTGTTTCACAAACTGTAGATCACTTTGAAAGAAATGAGCTTAATCACTGTCTTGTGTGTCCATAATTTGTTAGGGTGTTATTTTCTATTACTAGACTATAACTGTAGAAACTATTAATGAATTAGGAGTTATTATGTAAAGTGCCTGTGTTGAAATGTATGACTATAAATATTGAAGCTAATAGTAAAAGTGTGAAATAATAAAATACACTTTCAATATTGAGGCTTGCAATATACAGACTGTATTAATTCTAACCAACTTAGCAAATCTATGACCAAAGAACATAAATCCATCTAAATTAAAGTATGATTACATTTCCAATTCTGCAGATAACCTGTGAAAAAACTGCAGGAAGACTAAAGAATATTTCCAGTGTGTTTCAGAAAAAAAGCTTCCGTGACTTTCCTACTGCGTAGTTTAAATAATGTATGGTAAATTCTAATTGCTTGAAAGCAAGACAACACAATATGTAAAATGGGCTTGTAGTAAATCCTAAGGGAAGGGTTCAGATACCTCGAAAAAACACACACAGGATTAATAATGCATCCCTAAAGGAGCTAACACACATACTGGGGAGGAACCCATTCATTAAACAGATGAAGACCCTGTAACTATACCAGCACTTTGCTGTGTGCCTAACTGGGCCAATCAGTAAGCGCTTTGAAAAAGCCATCAACAACTGTCTAAGCTCCTCTTACGCCTAATACTGCTGAACCTGAAGTGTGATCTAAAGCCCCCCCACGCTGCTGAGCAATCATATACATGTTGTGTCAGAGCAGCACTTGGCCTGCCAGAAGCCTCTTCCTCCATTCTTTCTTTCTGCCTGAATGAATCCTGCCAGAAAGTCATAATTCCTAGCAAAGTTGCATGTCCCTTATCCCCAGTAGTATTGTCCTGGGTTTGTGACATACGCACACTCCTTTGAGGTGATGTCAGGTATGTGCCCAGAGACTGCTTGGCTCCTCCAACGTAAAAGAATACATGTGGCTCTTGGACCTGCGTTCTACCACTGTGCCATCTTGGACTGCCATGTTCAGCTCCCGGCCATGACATCTGTTCCTCACACCTTGCCTATAGCACACAGGAACTGTTGTCTATGCTTCTTACACATGATGCCCCTGCTGCACCAACAGTGCCTGTTACTCTCCAACCTTGCCTCACTGGACTAGGTAATCTTGATTGCGGCCTGGCCCTGCGTGCCCTCCTTCGACTTTGAGCAGCACTTCTCTGGTCAGCCTCTCTTCATGAAACCTTCACTACACTACATGATGTCCTGTAGTGAGAAATGTCCATGGGATTACCAGAAGACAGTCAACAAGGACAACAGTTCTTATCAAGAGACCAATATCGCCAATCTACCAGTCAACGTTCCCAGAAGGTAGGAGAACACTTGAGAAGTTAGGATCCCTCAACTAATTCCAATCCTCTGGCACCACCTCTTTTTTTTCTCATAATAAATTCCATCCTTCCCTTCCCTACAATGTATCAATTTTGGTCCAGCTCCAAACAGTTGCCTGTGGGCTGCAGTCATACTCCCACCCCCATGTCTTATCTGTCCAAGCAGTTGATTCCTTTATAATAAGCACATTGTGTAATGAGTGAACATGAAAAGGTTTCAAGCATCTCACTTGAACCAATGTTATCCTTTTTCAATGTATGAATTTTATCAAAACTGTATTGATGTATTCTGTTACATTTATCTTATGTGTTATATACTGTTCTGTCAGTAGGTGGTGATGTTTTCAAATTTTACTGTTCACTGTTTTTGTAGTATCGTCTTGTTTGTCATCATAAAAACTACATGGCAATCTGCAGACATGTTTGCTAGGAGATAAGACAGTACACACTTTAATTCTGTAGAGCTCCTAAGAATACTCCAACACTCCATTGCACAATGTATTTGTTTATTTGTTTCGGGATCATTTGTGAGATACTAGAAAAAGGTGTAGATGACATAAAACAATAATGTAGAGTGTTCAACATTACTCATTAATTCATATAAGGGACATGAAAGATGGCATCTTTTATGGTGTATATTAAACGTATATGAACTACTTATGTATTACTGGGACAAAGAAAGAGTTCACAAATGCACTGGGAGATTATAAATAATAAGAATACTATTTGATTTTTGTAGCATTTAAAGGGACTCTCTAGATCCCTAGAGAACTTTAGGTGCTTTAAGCTTGCTGAAATGAATTATATGTGAATAGTGTGTCATCTTTTTTTTTTATTTTACAAAAAGTGCAGATTTCAATAGAAATTGGCACTTGTATACATTAAACTCTCCCTGGCAGTCAGTCAGAAAACCATTCCTATTATTATCTGGTTTGCTTCGCTCAATGGAGCTAAAGTCATGAGGCAGCATGCCCAGAACACCTACCTTGCTAAGCCTTAAATATATATATATATATATATATTAAAACAAACAAACGAGTTGTTTATGTTCTACCACCTAAACACAAAAGTGTGAGTGCAGCGCTATATAAATTACTACTTTTCTATGGGGTAGAGTTACATGTAATAAAAGAGAAAAATATACGGAATAGTGCAATACATTTTATAAATATGCAGTGATAGTGAATAAATCTATGTATGGTCACACTCAAATTTTTAGAGCCTTTTTGGGGATATAGGCTCTAAACACTGTAACTGTTAGGGCCCTTTTAGGTGGCTCCCAGACCTTCTTCTAGATCGATTCTCCTTTGCAGATAGATATGGAAATAGAAGAGACAAAATGATTTGGGTGCAGATTGTTTGAACCAGATAGATAAAAATAATCAAATATAGCAATACATTTGCTCACCTTTTTAGTAGCCTCTTTCTATAACTGGCTCCCAACTTTGTGTGTAGTGTCAAATATATGGGTCTATGTATGTGTAGGCACATTTGTATATCTCTAGGTACATGTATTGGTGCTTGTGTGTGGATGTATGTGTAGGTGTGCATGTACATATATTTGGGCATTTGGTTATATTTATATGTATATTGTTGTATATACGTGTGTATATTGTGTATGTGTACATATGTGTGAGTGTTTGTGTATGTCTGTGTATGCTGGATATAGGCCTACATGCATATCCTGTAACTCTTGGATAAGAATTCATGCATTCCTAAGATAAGTAATTATTTAGTTTTTACTCTCCCCATTTAGCACCATCTTCTGCATTGTTTGCTTGTTTTCTCTCTCTCTCCCCCCTCACTCTGATCTTCACACAGGACATTTACGGCCCTCTGCGAGAATGGTGTCTATTTTCTATTAAACCTGTGTCTTACCTGCACTCATGTCGCTTTAACCCCTGTATCATAACTCGGCTTTGAATTCTATGTGTCATCTTGCTCAGAAATGCTTTAGACTTGAGAAAGGGAGGTTTTCCTTAAAGCTTGTCATTAAAAAATGATGTTCGTCCAATAAAAAAGGTATTGCAAGATACAAATTTTATCTGGTTTTTATGTATATATTTACAATATAAATATTGTATTTGGGCAATAAAATGTTCCCTTAAAATGTATTTTGCTCAAGAGTGATACAAAGCCAATGGATGACAAAGAATTATGGGAAATGTAGTCTAGCAACAGCTATATTCTTTGAAAAGTTAGGCTATTGTTGGAAACTCATGTTTTAAATAACTGAGTCACATTATGACAGTGAGAAAAGGTTGACATGGATGCTGTTTTATTAATTCAAGGTTTTCTGTATAATACAAATAAATTTGTTAGACTCCACTACGATTTTACAATAGTTATGTTCAGGCAGTCAGTCTTCTCCCAACATGCATACGTTATTTCATTTGTAAAACCCCACATGATATATCCTTTCTTAAGTTTTACATATATTTACATTTTTAGAATGCCTCCAGAAACCCATAATAGCATAATGTTCCCATAATACATGATTCATTGTAATGATCCATCGTCTCTCTCTCTCCCTCCCTCTCTCTTTCTTTCACCTCTCTGTTTGTACACTGATCCTTTAAAGCAGGGTAGGCCTTTATATAGGCTTCTATAACCCTTTAATACTCAGAGCATTTAGGTGGGTTGACTTGGAAGCCAAATAATTACAGTGCTCTGACGGGCATGCCTCACTTCACACTAGAGAGTGAAGATGTATACTTCAGAATTCCCTAGCCCCTTTTCAGAACCAGAGGACTGGAGACCCTTTGGAATGTAAAAAAATAGGAATTGAGATAGGGGTACTCGCAAGCCCCCTATCCAGTTTCCGTAGGGTCCAATGAACCCCTGTTATTTATTTACTTTGAAAAAGAGAATGGATTAGCTCTTTTCATGTGAGGGAGCTGACTGTTTCACTCTAATTACATGCTGAGGTCTTACAGACCCCGGTATGTATTAGAATATTAATGTACTTTTTTATTCAGTGCAACAGGGTAGAACTTTGGTACTGAAATTATTAATTTGTTGTGACACTGCAAGCCAAGTGAGGCCTTATGCTTGGTCTCACAAAGCTTAGCAGTTAGGCAACAAAAAGGGCTTGTTTGAATCTAAGAAACTTCAACCCTTTAGTGAATAGCAAATTACATTGTGGTTTCTTTAAAAAAGCTTGCAATCTACTCGAAACCCGATAGTTAATAAAATTTTTGCTTAAACTTTGCTAAAATTCCAATTTGACAGTATCTATAGATTCAACATGAATGTATGTGAAATGCAGGAAATCAGCAGTAAAGAAGAATGGATTACTCCAACTAGTAAACATAAATAAGTGTCTAATAATTGAATTTCTGACCAGTACATACTTCCTCATAATTTTTTATTTTACGTGTTACATTTCAGGATGCCAAAGCTGGAATTTACATTACTGATATCTCAATGGCAATGATAAACATAAAAAGCACAGACCGCAAAGGTTTTGAAGTCATTACCCCCTTTAGGAATTTCTGGTGAGTAATAATTGATTTATCCAAGATTTTATTTATTTTGTATTTAAATAAAGTGCAACTTTTTAAATAGCCCTCTCAAAAAGTTCATTTTTTTTCAGTTTCTCTGATGTACTAGGGCAGTTTATTATAGACCATAAAATGTATGTTGTATAAAATATGTTGTCGTGAAAGTTAAAATTAAAACTATACTACTCAAAGAGAGTGTGGATCGGTTTATTTCCTTCAAACTGCTTCACGTAAAAATTTAGTGAGTTAAGTGCTTGTAAATATATACATTTTCTGATCCCACATCAGAAAGAACATCAGGCATTGTTAAAGAGATCTGTGATTTTGTGGTGTATAGATTAACTTAACTCTTAGAGTATACCTTAAAGCTCTGTACAGTATTATAAGTATAACTGTAGATTACAGATAATTTAGTTAACCTATAGCCTGGTGTATTTGGTTTCAAACGAATTGTGATACATAAAAATTTTGGGCAATTGGTAATTTGTCCAAATCCTGCAACTCTGAAATGCTACATAGACAAATCACAAAAACATATGAGACAGATAATGAACAAGCCATTCTGTTTGTTTTGTGATTCCGATTTCCATCCTTAGTGTAAAACAAAAGATGATTGATGGAAAAAAATATTATTGATGGTTAGCTGACAGCCTCTAAATTATGATTTTATTAAAAGAGCAAAAGTGACCAATAGAGGTAAACAAAGAAGGAGCGGTAAAATATATATATAATATAAATTAAGATTTTTGCTGCTTCCTTTATCTCACCTCTGTTGATTACTTTTTATCACTTGATCTGTGACCAGAATGGTGTCAAAATTTATATTATCTAAACATTTTGCAGTATACCAATGGGCACATTTTCTTTTGTCCAAATCTTTTTTCCCCAAATAATTACACGGACAAAATTCATCTGAGCCAAAACACCACATGGACAAAATCCGATTTGCCCAAAACGATTCAATTGCACTGCTAACCAACATCTAGATTAAATTGTGTAACCTATCTCATGCAAACCTCCCCAGACTCACATCGTCAAACAGCAGTTTGACTTTAAAGGGTAAATGTGAAATCACATAAGCATACAGTATTAAATAAAACCATTCTAAAAAAATGTTCTGCACTAGCAGGGATTCTGAATGAAAGGTTCAATAACTTACAACAAAATCCAATTTTTACAGCTTTACAGCAGAGTCAGAAAGAAAGAGACAAGAGTGGATGGAAGCAGTGCAGCAATCTGTAGTAGAAACTCTAGCTGATTATGAAGTAGCAGAAAAGATCTGGTTCAATGAATCGAACAGGAGTTGTGCAGATTGTAATGCTCCAAATCCTGACTGGGCATCTATCAACCTAGGGGTTGTCATTTGTAAGAACTGTGCAGGTAAATGAATAATGTGATTGTTACCATACACCGTCCTAATTTATTTCACGGCAACATAGCTCATTCTTTCTGATTTACTGCGAATCTCTTCGGTGGCAACTGTTGACAGGAATCATGCGATAAGTAGCAAGGCCATTTTTACACTGTTACAACATGCCAAAACAAAAAATGAACACCCTGTGATTTCGATTCAAGTTAAAATAGAAATAGTTGTGCAATAGAAACAATTTAATGTTTCCTAGAATTGTATCATCCGTGCATATATCTTTCACTCATAACATACCTCTATAAATGTCTGAAAATAATTATTCACACATATGAGATTCAAAATTGAACACATATGATCAGCCTTATAAAAATTGTATAAGAACAATTGACTTTGCAGCCTAGGTAAAAAGTCTATCCATTGATTCATTATTTCAATATAATTGACATCTATCTTTCTACTTTATTTACCTGTAAAAGAATACTTGTAGAGAAAAATCAATTAAAGGGATACGATAGGCACTCAGACTACTTCAGCTCAATGAAGTGGTCTGGGTGCACTGTTCCAGCACCCTTAACCCTACAAAGCAAAATATTGCCATTTTTAAGAAACTGCAACAATTACCTTTGTAGGTTAACTCCACCTTTAGTGGCTGTCTACCAGACAGTCACTAGAAGGATTTCCAGGCTGTTAGGCGATTTTTGGTCGCCTAATTGATACTCAACAACCTCATGCTATGCATGGTGATGTGCAGCATCCCCCAAAATCCTGTAGGAAGCAAAGGCAGGCCTGAGCCAGCACCAAGGGACATCAATGCTGGGTCCAGGTGACAGAAGGGCATTTTAACCACTTTCTGCACCACAGAGGGGGGTGTGGTGAGGGAGGGGGAAGCTATAGTGCCAGGAAAACAAATATCTTTAAGCATAGTATTTATTTGCAACCTGGGATACATGAACATACTGTCAGATCAAAAAAAATAAATTTGCATGCAGAATCCTTTTTACTGTATTGTTTAATTACTAGGAAGGATTAAAGAATTTTTAAAAATTGGACAGACTAGATTGGCTGAATGGTTCTTTCCTGCCGTCACATTCTATGTTTCTATGTTTATATTGACAAAATTACAACATTCTAATATAAGTATATATGTAGGAAGGAAATAGTGATACTTTTCCATTAAATTAAGATTATTTATTTAAAGGGTGACTTCATTGTGGATGAATGAGTCTGAATTCACACTATTATTAACCATTTACCACCAAGTTCAGTTTGTTGAACATACCTTGCTTACAGATGTTCAAAAACAAACCAATGGCATTTTGGGCAATGTACCTTTCTTTAGATACCATCATAATTATGTCTGTATATCTGACACTCTATGAGCACATTTATAGAAATCATCCATGTAATACAACTTGCAAAGAATCAATTCATTAAGTTCGAGTTGTCGATGTGACGGTCAACTTGTCTCAATGTTGTCTATGCAAAATTATTCCAGAAAAAGATTTGGAGAAATCAAAAAGGCGCAAAAACGCCAATCAGTATATTGCAAAATATAAACATGATGTATACAATTTTCAATACACTGATGGGATATTTGGTTCTCCATTTGGTTCACAGATCAACTGAGAAAAAGTGACCAGTAGCATAAAAAAGAGTAGGAGGAGTAAAAAAAGTTATCTGTATTTATAAATTATATATATATTTTTACACTGTTCCAGTTTTTTTCCCCAAATATTGGTCACTTCTCACTTGTTCTGTGAATCAAAAATACATTTAGTGGCTGTCCTTAACCAATCAATCATCTTAAAGGACCACTATAGTGCCAGGAAAACATACTTGTTTTCCTGGCTCTATAGTGCCCTGAGGGTGCCCCCAGAGGAAAGGCGTTAAACTTACCTTTTTTCCAGCACCGGGCGGGTTGCTCTCCTCCTCCTCTCTGCCTCGATCCTTCTCTTCGGCTGAATGCGCATGCGTGGCAGGAGCTACGCGCGCATTCAGCCGGTCTCATACAATGCTTTCCTATGGACGCTTGCGTCTTCTCACTGTGATTTTCACAGTGAGAAGCACGCAAGCACCTCTAGCGGCTGTCAATGAGACAGCCACTAGAGGATTTGGAGGCTGGATTAACCCTATTATAAACATAGCAGTTTCTCTGAAACTGCTATGTTTATAGAAAAAAAGGTTAATCCTAGAGGGACCTGGCACTCAGACCACTTCATTAAGCTGAAGTGGTTTGGGTGCCTAGAGTGGTCCTTTAATAGTTAGTAATTATCCAAAGTGTGTTAAATGGTCTCAATTGCATTTCTAAATGCAATTTAAATAAACTAAAATTACACTCAATAATAGAACAATATAATGAGCTATGCATGGATCAAGAATAAAACAGTGAATCACTTTAAATGGTAACAGATGTATTTGGATGTCTTCTATAAATTAAGCTACGATGTCCAATGGATATAAAATCAACATCTTGTAGTGGTGACCTTATTGCGTCTTCAGGATACAAAACTTTCAAGTTGTTCAGTTAACAAACTGGAAGAGAAAAAAAATTACATGACTATTTCTATAGTTTTACAATAAAAAATATTGCAACTCTCTGCATTATAATTCTACCCTTAAACACACCACCCCTTTTCTTAAAGCTTCTTCCTGATTGGAAAGTAAATTGTTAACTAAGCCAATCCAAGATCCGTATGAGCTAAGCTGCTGACTTGACTCCAAACCACAGCTAGATCACAGTTCTCTTCTTATCTGTGTAGTATATCAAAGTAATACAGAGAAAAGAGGCCTGTTGTAAGGTGCAGTCATGTTAGCAACTCTGCTCACAACTATATCTCAATGGTTGAGCTGATTATGCACTCAGAGTGTCTGACATGGAAATTACTTTTAGAAAAGATGGGAGCAAATGGCTATGTTGCACTGCAAAAGGCTGCAAAACCTAAGGCTAAAGAGATATGATTGTGAAAAAAGATGCAAAATCAATATAAGGCCAGAACTTATCACGTGTACTTAAGTTATTCGAGACTGCCGTGTCCTTTTAAAGCACAATAGCAGGTGGTAATAAGAGGCAGATGACATATAGAAGAATTTAAGAATTCTGAATTTATAGAATTTGCAACAGTTAGAAAGAAAAATTAAAAATCAAATTAGAATTAAACATCCAAAACCATTAATATGATTCCAATAAATTTCCCTTATATTTGAACAGGAATTTTTTTTTTTAAGCTTTGAAATATTGTTTATTTGCTTCTCAAATGAGAAAAAAAAGATGATCTTAATTTTGTGGTATGCTTTGGCAGTATTATCTAACACAACCATAGTTTTTTTTTTTTCAATGGAGAGATGTAAATGCCAAATAAAAATTGTTTTGGCCAAAGCACTTAGTCCAAAAATAATATATGTGCCATGAATCTATATTTATTTATGCAGTATATATTTATTAAATATATAACATATAAATATAGATATTTTACGGTTCCAACTTATTTGACCTCTATTGTTTACTTCTCACTTAATCTGTAGAAAAAAATGTTAGTGGCTGTGCCCTAGCCATAAGTCACCTTTTTTCCCCATCAATCATTTTATTTTTGACACCATGAGTGGAATTCCAAACCACAAATCAAACTAACATACTTGTCCATTGAGCAATTTGTTTGTGATTCAGCTACAATTTAGCTTGGCATTTGGGAAGTTGTACATTCACCTGGTTGTCCCAAATTCAGACAAACTGCAGTTCCTTTGCATTTACAAATGGTTCATGAAAGTTTCTCATGTACTCTCCCCTTTTCTTCCTCTTTCATGGAACACATTTCTAACCTTTATTATTTCACAGGAGGCAGTGTCTTTAAAATTAATTGATGTACAGAATTCAAACTATACTACAGAACGATTAAATCTGTTTTTTTACATTGGCAGAGGTACCTGTAAGGGTCTGTTGGAGAAAAATAAGAAAATGTATTAAAGTTTGATTGTGATCGGAGTATAAAATAGACATTGTTAAGTTTTTCGTGATTTAATGTCAGTGTTTTCAATTTAATGCAGATTTAAGGCTAAAAGCACAGAAAAAAAGATATAATTTATAGCACTTACTTTTAAATTTGGCTTGAGCTACACTGGCAAGGTTTCCTGCTGTGTATAATAGAAAAATGCTACTAAATTGCCTTTAGTTAATATCTAACTTTAAGATGTATTATGTTTTTTTGACAATTAGCAGCTTGTTAACAGAATTTGTGCAGTAATGGTTCTGTTATTGGCAATAACTTATTAGCAATGTGAAATATTTTTCACCCTTTACAATTTTTTTAACAATTCTAGAGCACATAAATGTGTTTATTTTCCTGAAACATTTTTCAAGTTTTAGGGAATAGCATGAGCTGAAATCAAATCAATAGTTATGTATTACGCCTGTCATGAAGCTTACATTTTGACATTGCTTAAACCTTTAATGACAAGGGTTTGGCAAATTCCATTATATCATGACTTTCCTGGCAAGTTGTCTGTCATGAAGGGCTTAAGACATTTGCTTCACACATATTTGCCTTCTATTTAAGATAAATGAGAATACTTTCTTATTTTGCTAAAGTATAGCAAGATTAAAGTATAGCTTGAAATAGATCTGTTGCTGATATTCTTCCTAGTCTAATATATTTACCTTACTTTTTACTCTGAAAGTAAGTGGGCCTCAGAGGTTCACACATGCAGACATCAGTTCATGCTGTGGCAAAAGTAAAGATACACAACTGATGCATGAAGCAATATCATGACACAGAATGTGTTTCTGGTAACACAAGAGTTCAGTGTCGAAGTAGCTTGCTTAGGCAAAGTTGTATCCTATATATTAACCCCTTCACGATGCAGAATGGAAATTTTTCATCATGTGAGTCCTACCTCGAGGATACTCAATGAAAAACTTCCGTCAAGTACTAAAATTTATGCCAGATCAGTTTGCAGTTGCAGTTCTTTCTGTGATACTTTGTGTCCCTGTGTGAAGAAATTAGTTTTAAAGTATCCAGATCCCCTTTAGCCATATTCTTAAAAAAAAAAAACAACAACAAAAAAACCTTTGCCTGCCCTTTAATCACTACTTTAGTGTTAGGATTGTTAAATGTGAAAAGTAAAAAAAAGTTTTTCAAAAGTTCAGTGCCAAGAGGCCTATAGAATTTAAATGGCCGACTCAGAGGCAACAGACACTACCACAGAGAGTGATGCTGGTGACTGCTCTTTGCCGGATACTGCAGGGCCCTCAGTAGAAATTAGTGCTTCCCCTGGCACTGCTTATGGTGCTGATGACTGTGAACCCCCTATTGACTTCACACTTGACATGCCTGAGTTCACTGCCACTCCTGGTATTTAGGATGACTTAGCTTAGCATGCTGGATTTTATGCAGCTATTCTTGGCGGATGATATCTTAGGGGAGTTTTTCACCCGGATAAACATTTATGCACAACAGTATCTAGCACAAAACCAGAAATGGGAGCTGGTACCTCTCCAGTGTACCAGAAATGAAGCAATTCTGGGCAGTAACTATGCTAATAAGCATAATTTAAAAGGCCTGCATTAGGATTTATTGGTCCTAAAGCCAAGTATGTAATAGCCCCATTTTTTCCCCAGACCATGAGCAGGACCAGATATGAAGCCATACTGTGATTCATGCACTTCAGTAGCAATTCAAAGTGGCCCCCAAATTGTAATCTTGAAAATACAAACCTTTTCAAAATACATTCCCAAATTTCACCTAAAAAATATTTGCATTTTTGAGTCCCTTATAAAATATAAGAGAAGACTGGGGTTCAAACAATACATCCCAAACAAACGATCCTGGTAAGAGATACAATTGTGCAAACTGTGTGAAAGTAGCAGTGGCTATGTGTATACCTTCTGTGCCTGTGAAGGAAAAGATCCACCAGTTTGCCCAAATATAGTTGAGACTAGTGGATAAATTGTCTGGGACCTCATCAACCCCTTTCTAAACAAGGGATATCCCCTGCATATAGACAATTATTACAATAGTATCCCATTACTTAAAATGGATCACTGCTACAAAACTGTTTTCTGAGGTATAATCTAAAAAAGTCATACAGATTTCCCAGAGACCTTAGTAGAAAAAAAGCTTAAAAAGCGGAGAAAGGCTGCTATCTGCCAGGATGGACTGCTGATTCTACAGTACAAAGATGAAAATGAGGTGCTCATCCTAAACTCTCAAAATTCAACTGTACAAAATCTCCTATCTATGGCACTGAAAATTCACAAAACAATGACAAATGCATACATTTGGGGTATTGTTACTCAGGAGTGTTAGCTGAGCCTGATTTGGGTGGTTTGATCAGAGTGGCACATATAAATATACAAAAGGCCCAGCAGAAATGTAATGCAAATGTAAAAAATGCAAAAAATATTGTGGAGAAGGTTGCTGAGTAAAATAAGGGTGTAGGTACATATCATTAGAAAAAAGGAATACAAAGGGATCAACCATCTACACTGTAGGAATTAATAAGATGGTCAGAGGATTTTGGTATCAAGTCCCAGATCAATCCCATATACCAGAATGAGATGCTACTGATTGGAGCATCTCATCCAGATGTGATTTAGATCTATCTGCAGCACCAGGCAGACCCACTAAGTAGTGTACCGAAAAACATTAAAGATGTGCAACTATTTTATTATTTATTATTATTATTTTTATTATTTTATATTATTGATATATTTACTATGCAATATATTAAAAACATAGGTTAATTGTCTTAACTTACCTAACCCTTTACAGCATGCATGTCCAACCCATAGGCTAGTAATGCCGGGTTGTCAGGCGGCGAGGGAGTCAGGGAATCCTTTACATACTATGCTCCTCCTGCAAAGCTCCCTTGCGCTCTCCTCAGTGAGCAGGCAACTAGGTGTGTTAGGGACCTGTGCAGGAAGAGCATAGAGAGAGATCTCAGCTCAGCAGCCGATGATCCACTCCATCCCTCCCAGAGAAAGGTTGCTGGTTGGACCTCTTAAGTACTAAATGTGTATGAATATGATTTTTGTGTATTAATGTCAATGATTGTGTGTGTATGTGTGTATGTATGTCTGTGTGTATGTATGTGATTGTGTGTATAGGTCTGGGTATGTATGTGGGTCTGTGATTGTCTGTGTAGGGCTGTCATCGTATGTGTGTGTTTGCGTGTGTGTGTGTATTTGATTATGTATATGGATATATGTGATTGTGTGTATAGGTCTGTGATTGTATGTGTGTTTGTGTATGGGTCTGTAACTGTGTATATATATCTGTGATTGTGTGTGTATGCATGTGACTGTGTGTATACATCTGTGATTGTAGGTGTGTGTGGGTCTGTGATTGTGTGTATAGGTCTGTGATTGTATGTGTGTAGGTATTTGATTGTGTGTATGTCTGTGTGTGTACATATGTGATTATGTGTGTGTATGTATGTGATTGTGTGTATAGGTCTGTGATTGTGTATGTGAATCTGTGATTATATGTGTATATGTGTGAGTGTGTGCATATGTACAGGGAGTGCAGAATTATTAGGCAAATGAGTATTTTGACCACATCATCCTCTTTATGCATGTTGTCTTACTCCAAGCTGTATAGGCTCGAAAGCCTACTACCAATTAAGCATATTAGGTGATGTGCATCTCTGTAATGAGAAGGGGTGTGGTCTAATGACATCAACACCCTATATCAGGTGTGCATAATTATTAGGCAACTTCCTTTCCTTTGGCAAAATGGGTCAAAAGAAGGACTTGACAGGCTCAGAAAAGTCAAAAATAGTGAGATATCTTGCAGAGGGATGCAGCACTCTTAAAATTGCAAAGCTTCTGAAGCGTGATCATCGAACAATCAAGCGTTTCATTCAAAATAGTCAACAGGGTCGCAAGAAGCGTGTGGAAAAACCAAGGCGCAAAATAACTGCCCATGAACTGAGAAAAGTCAAGCGTGCAGCTGCCACGATGCCACTTGCCACCAGTTTGGCCATATTTCAGAGCTGCAACATCACTGGAGTGCCCAAAAGCACAAGGTGTGCAATACTCAGAGACATGGCCAAGGTAAGAAAGGCTGAAAGACGACCACCACTGAACAAGACACACAAGCTGAAACGTCAAGACTGGGCCAAGAAATATCTCAAGACTGATTTTTCTAAGGTTTTATGGACTGATGAAATGAGAGTGAGTCTTGATGGGCCAGATGGATGGGCCCGTGGCTGGATTGGTAAAGGGCAGAGAGCTCCAGTCCGACTCAGACGCCAGCAAGGTGGAGGTGGAGTACTGGTTTGGGCTGGTATCATCAAAGATGAGCTTGTGGGGCCTTTTCGGGTTGAGGATGGAGTCAAGCTCAACTCCCAGTCCTACTGCCAGTTCCTGGAAGACACCTTCTTCAAGCAGTGGTACAGGAAGAAGTCTGCATCCTTCAAGAAAAACATGATTTTCATGCAGGACAATGCTCCATCACACGCGTCCAAGTACTCCACAGCGTGGCTGGCAAGAAAGGGTATAAAAGAAGAAAATCTAATGACATGGCCTCCTTGTTCACCTGATCTGAACCCCATTGAGAACCTGTGGTCCATCATCAAATGTGAGATTTACAAGGAGGGAAAACAGTACACCTCTCTGAACAGTGTCTGGGAGGCTGTGGTTGCTGCTGCACGCAATGTTGATGGTGAACAGATCAAAACACTGACAGAATCCATGGATGGCAGGCTTTTGAGTGTCCTTGCAAAGAAAGGTGGCTATATTGGTCACTGATTTGTTTTTGTTTTGTTTTTGAATGTCAGAAATGTATATTTGTGAATGTTGAGATGTTATATTGGTTTCACTGGTAATAATAAATAATTGAAATGGGTATATATTTGTTTTTTGTTAAGTTGCCTAATAATTATGCACAGTAATAGTCACCTGCACACACAGATATCCCCCTAACATAGCTAAAACTAAAAACAAACTAAAAACTACTTCCAAAAATATTCAGCTTTGATATTAATGAGTTTTTTGGGTTCATTGAGAACATGGTTGTTGTTCAATAATAAAATTAATCCTCAAAAATACAACTTGCCTAATAATTCTGCACTCCCTGTATGTGATTGTGTTTTAAGTCTGTGATTGTATGTGTGTGAGTATGTGTGTGTATCTGTGATTATTTGTGCATATGTATATACATGTGTATGTGTTTAATTTGGTATACTTAAGTATGACAATCCCACATAAGAATAACAAATAAGGGAGTTGTCTACTAAACATTTGAAATATCAAAATTAAGAAAAGGACTTTTAAAGTCGTATTACTTGTATACATTAACTATATTATATATTTGATGTATGGCCTAAGACAATTCCCCTTTCAACACGGCCCATGGAAAGCCAAAAGGTTAGACACCTATGTTTTACAGATTGCTGGCAAGTTACAAAAAAGAATGAGTAGGAAAGTTAAAACCGTTTTTTGCTGACTTGATTATTATATGAATTGCTCAATACCGGAGAAAGAGCTGCACACAGCTACACAAATACAGCAATTTTTTCTTGGAAATGTATTCATATAGTATACCCATGTCATAGATTTGTACAGCGCTACAGAATCTGATAGCGCTATATAAATAATAAAATAATAATAATAGATATAAAGAATATTGTAGGCTATCTACAGCATCATTTTGGATAGTCCAGAAGAGGTTTACTCTGTCTATAGTGTGGTGCAAATAAGCCATCTGTGAAGCCATGATCTAATTTCAGCTCTTTTTGTCTTTAATATATGCCAGGCTTTTTAAGCTCTTAGTTAACTATTCCTACTTATAGCCAGATGTTATATGAAAACATATTGACTTGCACAGACATTCTCAAAGCAGAGTGCTTTTAAACATATTAATAAAATGGGTTCTAGAAAGTAAATAGAATTTTAACTTCACATATGGTCAACCCTGACTGATCCTGAGGATTATAAAGAAAGCGATATGCATGCTTAACACTGATCTTTCATTGTTTGAGCTTTGATTATGGCATTCATTTGTGGAGTGTTGGAAATCTCCAGGTGGTAAAAGCTTCTTGGAAATTATGAAGTCTTGTTGTGTAGTGAAGTTAAGAACTTCATGCTGGCCCATTGAAATGTTAATGATGGTGCGAAAGAAGAGCTGGCACTTTGGGGAAATGAGATGAAGGAACTACATCTTATTAGTTAGGTTTACTTACCACGAGATAATAATAAAAGACGATAATAGTAATAAAGCTTTTTTTTTTTTTTTTTTACATTAGTACAAACTTTCAATAAGATTTTACTACTTCACTGCCAACATTGTGTTTACATAAATTTACTTTTTTATTTTGCGTTGTAAAGAAAAATAAAGAAAGTTGACCCATAAAACCTTATTTGCCTTATTAACTGTTCAAGAATTGATGTTCAGATTATAGATAATATTTTTTTTTTTAGTAAAGGTTAATTCTGTTTGTACGCAAGCAATGAGACTTGAAATAGCAGACTCTATAAACTACTCCCACACTGTAAGCAAGTTTAAATTGATTTTTATGCGTACATTCTAACAATCAGTAATTTAGAAGGGTCAGTATAAATAAGCGCATAACATGTACAGTGTGTAAGGTGTTATTACATCTTGCAACCCCCTATATATTGCAATACATTATTATAACTCTACTATGATTTGTAGGCACTATGCTGACATGCAGAGATTTTATTTTTATATCTTGCATTTATTTAACAAAGCTGCATTGCTATTAAATGCCACAGGTCACTTACAAATATCTACAAGCAGGATATCTGAAAATGCTATCTGTTTTATGCCATTCTTACTGTTTGTGACAAAAAAATATGCCTGTTTCATGTTTATATTTCAAATCCTGTCTGAAATATTGCAAGAAAATGTATACTACATACTCTCTAAAAATGTCAACAAATTCTTCTGTAAAGGATGAACAAATAAATTAAATATTAAAATCTAAGATATTTATTTATTTTTAAGTTTTAAAGGATTATGTTTAGGTTTTTTAAGAGAAATATGTACCCAAAATGATGTTTGACCCCATGTTTATATGATAGCTATGCATCTCATATTTCAGATAAATGTATTCATAATAAATATTTTCAAACAAAACCGTGCTTGGCTGTGAAGGAGTTAAGTGGTCAATATCTAAATGAAACAAGATATGATTAACTTAAGTTGGGCAAGTGGCCACAAATTGCTATAATTGTGGATGAAAAGGAATTATCCCCTAAATTGCCCTTGGCACTACTCTGTTTAGCCCTTGTGATAAACTATTGATTGTGCATAATCAAGAACATAATCTAGTCCAAAGCTAAATGAAATTGCGCTGCTCAAATAAAGTCAGGTTTTCTTGAGCCCTACGCAGAACATACTCTAGCAGATAGTTAAAAAACTTAAGCAATTGTAGAATTCCCCAAGTGATTCTATCCACGATTACAGGGAAACACTTGAGCTATTCTTGAGATGCAAACGACTTTACCCTCTTTAACCTGATTTGTGATATAAAGCTTAGTTAAATCATTCTACTTTAAAATTCTATGTGCTGCATACATGCGTTATGATATGTCCATATCCAGGAATGTGTTGGCTTTCTGTTCTGTATATATTATATTGAAAAAAAATGACCAAAAGCCTCCCTCCTCGAGAGGACTTTATGTGTATTCGAAATGTGTTTCTATTGAGAAATAGTTATACATTGTTATTATCCCAGTTATTGGTATTCAATTATTTCAACAGTAACAATACCACAATGTAAAACATAAAGGTCATGCTCATACAACTTAATGCAATTGACTCCAGGTGGGAAAATGTGAGCCTCTTCTCTTTATAACTCAACAAAAGGTCATAATTTCCAGACTGCAGGGTATATGGTGTTCAGTTTATGGATTGTGTTTATAATGAAATAAACCTAAACACAACTATATCATCTTGACAATAAACACGCAGTGACATCTTTCTTATTCAACTCTTTGTACACCTTTGACTCCAGCAACGTGGCATAACTCATTGTTTTTCTAAAAGCTCATTTTTTTCATATACCATTAAACAAAAGTGCATTTTTAAACAATATAAATGGTCCTATATATTTAGTGCAGAACTTCCTACCATGAAAACAAAGAATTCTATAGAAATGCTTGCTCCAAAAATATTCTATTCTAACCTTGTGCTTAAATAAGTTAGTTGTGCAATTGAAAGTCTTACAAAAAAAAAAATAGCCTTGTCTACATTGTAAAGACTCTTATTTCAAATTAAATGGTTAGTTTAGAGATAACGCTGTAGAGTTTGTGATTTCAGGTTTACCCTGGCCCCATTTGCTGGTAATAAGGAAAACAGTGGCTGGCTAATTACATCCTTATGAATCAGCTAGAGGTGGGAGTTATTTCTCTGGCAGCAAAGGGGTTAAACTCCGTATGTACAGCGTTTCAAAGAAAAATCCAGGCACTGTCACCACTTCAAATCCCTGAAGAAGTCATGGTGCTTGGAGTATCTCAAAAGAGTGAAATATAAACACACTTAGCAAAATACAGTTATTTAAGAAATCATGTTTGTTAACTGTGATGGGTCCCCTGTGCCCCAACTGAGCACTAACACCCGCACAGCTTCTTCCCATCACCAAACCACAGATGTCAGCACCTCTCCCCAAAGAACAGCAGACACACACAACTTGAGGGTAGAACAAGAACTAATTTTTATTAGACATACCCAGGTATTTGTATACAAGTAAACTCATTAGTAAACACACAAAGGTTTGTAACAGCAACCAATCAAACTGGGCCTAAGCAACAGCCAATCACACTAAGCCCATTATTAACCAATAGGACACACCATCACAGAACACTTACTTTGCATACACAGGAAAACATTATGCATTAGGTAAAGGGATTAACATACAATCAATAATAGGTGACTCAGCTCCCTTAGTCACAAAGGGGAACATCCCAACCCCCTCCCATGTGGTCACAGTCTCTGGTTCAGCGCCATCTAGTCTCTCCATGTTGTGGCTAAGTCTAAGTCTGTGTGGTCTAAATGGCTGCTCCTCACTAGAGCCCACCCATACAAAGGAGCCCTTGATGCCCAAGTGACGGCGTACCAGCGTTCTGTCACATTAACCATTTCTACAAATGTTTGAAGCCATTTAATATTCCTATGTTTCGACTAACTGTTATGCTAATATGATCTATATGAGCATTACTAGAGTAATACATAAACACATATTTATGTATCAGTATACTTGTTACTCATAAAGCCTCACCAATCAAACTTCTTATTCTAGAGCTGAAGTCAGAGTGTTAATAAACACATTCCTGTGCCAACGTTAATTCTGTCCCTTCTTCACTACAAAAAAACCTGAAAAAAGTGCACCCTCTTTTCTTCCCTCTCCCACAAAATAAGCAAGTTTGAAATAGAAACTTTGTTCTACTTCTAACATTAAAAGTATGAGATAGAAGTAACCTGGTCTTTCCCAGGTTTGTGGAAGTATAATAATCTTCCACAAACCTTGGAAAGGCCAGTGTCTTCTCCTACCCATCCCCTATGCTTGTCTAACCTTATCAATCCTATGTTTCTACCATCTCATACCACATTTCTTCTCATATTATGCTGAAATGTTTCCATCATCTCACCTTCATATTTTCCCCTATCTCATCCCATGTTTTCTCAATCATCTCACTTTTGGTCTCTCTGAGTCCTTCCCAAATGGCAACTCCAGACCTGCCAATGGAACTATGCCTTTGCTCTTGACTGCTGAATCAGCCTAATTTAACCCTAAATTGACAATCAGCTTGCCTTATGCTATTCCTAACCCTTACTCTAGTCGTAAGTATAAATTCTGTAACCCTAAGCTAACTCAAGCTGTCAACATGTTATCATACCTAAGGGCTAACACTAACCCATAGTTAACTTTAACTCTATCCCTTCAGTTAGCTAACCCTAGCCTTGCACTTATGGTTAGCTAGTCCCAATACTGTCCCTAATGTTAACTAATCATAACACCCTAATGCTATGTTTAGGGTTATCTCATGATAGAATGGGGGTGGGATGGCAGACATGCAAAGTGATGCTGGTGTTATGTTAATGATTTGAGAACTGATATCACTTTATCCACCATAGTGACTGTTTTCACAGTGCTATTTTCAGTTTAAAAAAATGATCAGCAGCTCCACTGTTGCTTTGCAGCCAATCAGTGCAATTGTACTGCCTGAGGTGGTGGGGTGGCCTTTAGGAATTTTTTTCTCTACCTGCAGTGTATTTCTTAACTCTATGAGTGCCAGGAGATCAGTACAAAGGGGAAAATGGCCACCATGTAACTCTAATGTGGAGACTGGAAAAATATCCTATCCAGCTGAGATTTTTACTCAGTTAGATGGGTCATTTTCTTTTGCCACCAAAATCTCAAATGTTCCCACTTTTCCAGGGGAATGTATGACAAACATAGGAAGGAGGTAGTGAGACAGACAATCTCGAAATGATTACTTAATTCTTTTTATGAACATCCATTGCTGCAAATAGCATCAGGTTCCTTACTAATACCCTTAAGCAGGACACTTGACTTTTTTATATTCTACTCTTTGTGACAACATTTTTATTTTTACTTGTATGCCAATCTTTTAGGCCCTAGTTGTAATTGTGTAAATGAATTACATTTTTATTTTTTAAGTACCTCTTTGTAGCAATCTATAACCAAAATTGCTTTTGCCTTCTAAACATATGTACTATTAATACATCCCATGGTACAGATATCTCCTATTGTTCAGCTTCATTTGAGGCAAACTTGTTTATTATTTTTTTTTACCAAGCTTTAATAGCTCCAAATTATACAATTATATTTTAGCATAATTATATAGCATGAAAAGATAGTAATACTTAGTGACATTTACAATTATTGTAAGATTTTACATTGTAGTTACGACATTTAAATATAATAATAAAACCTTTGACATAACCATATAATAATAGTAACAGAAATGTGATATCATTGTACATACATGTTACAAACATGCACTTAATCAAATAACACTGATACTTGTTTTTTCCTACTTACATTCCACTTACATTTAAAAATGTATTGAATGTTTATGTTTACACTATCTCTATGTTTTGTTTTGTTTTATTTGTATTTTTTTTTTTTTTTTTTCATTTTATCCTCTGTTGGTAATTTTAAAGAATTAGACATGGAATCGCAAACACTCCAAACATCTAAAGCACTTTAGATTGCTGAAGTGCTTTATGTGTGAAGAGTGTGTCATCTTTTTTATTTTACAAAAAGAACAACATTCTATAGAAATTGGCAAGTAAAATAGAAGAAATGACTCTGCACTTCCCATGTATTCAGAAATAAATACACTCTAATGTAGTTCTCGTTTGAAAGAACAAAGTTATAAATCAGTCCTATTGAATTTTCCTTGTATCACTCCTACATATTAAATAAAAGAAAAAAAAAAAGAGGGGGGGGGGGCACAGAAGAGGGTGATAATGTTTAAAATAAGTAACATTTATTAATATAAATAAGGTAAAAAATCAAGTTGGACTCTCACAGTTGATAAAGATTTAATGGATTAACCTATCCTGAGGAAGCTCCCAATGAAGATCCAACTCTGTACAGTGTTCCGTCAGTCTCTAGGTAATATATATGTATATATTGATATGGCTCGGGCTGTCATAGTAACACCCAGCCTGTTTTAGCCATAAATTCAGTTAATATAATTAATTTTATTTTTGGTGGACCCTCTAGGGATTTTCTCTTTTTTAAAATGAGGATCACTATTTGATCTCGTAGTGTGATCTTGCTATCCTAATCTTTACTATTTTTACCACAGACTTATCACCAGGGTATTATAAGTTAATTACTTCCCCATTGGGGACGCATCCGGGACCCAGAGTAGAATGGCAGCATAGACCCACAGCTCCATTCTCACTTGGAATACAATAGCTCCTATACAGCCCACTATATCAGTATTGGATAAAGTACCTGAACCCTTAAAACACAGAGGGGGCACCCACCGGGTTCACAGTCTGGGACGATGGATGAATATTTTCACTTCCCAGTGGGACATAGAGATGGAGAAATGAGGGTCAACATGGCACCTGAATCATACATGCTCCTGGATACCTTATGAGAATCAGTGACCCTGCAGCAGATTAGTACAGACATCTGCATCAGACATCAGTAGCCACTGTTGCCACCAAAACCTACTTGGTCATGCTACCGAAATACCTTCATGGTACAATTGGTTCTGAAAAGGCCACTATCCGGGTGGAAGTAGAAATCCATGTTCAGACCTTAGAGACAGCAACCCAGCACCACTCCCTGTAACTCTCCTCAGCAGAATTAGCAGCAATGAGACTGGGGGCAATGCTCCTTGCAGTGAGGTGCCAGGTAGAGGATCTCGACAACCATTGCAGGTGGCACAACATACGTATCAGAGGAATGCCAGAATCTCAAGGTAGGGAAGACATTGAGGACTTCCTAGCATCCCTCGTCACACAATTTTTTGCTGAGGAAGCCCCACAAAGTTATGAATATGAAAGAGCACATAAAGCCCCAGCCCATGTCTACTGAGGGACCAACCAGAGACATTATATGCTGCATGTATCCATTCCCAATTAAGGAAAGGATCATGACAAAAGCATGCTCATACCTGACCTGGAAATTCCAAGGTGCAGCAGTCACCCTATAACAAGATCTGTCCCCAATGACATTAGGGGCCAGGTTGTCCTTATGTCACCACTGTCTTACAATAGAGGTGCATCCAATATAAATAGGGACTCCCCTTCAGCCTTCAGGCTAAAAACAATAATCAATGGATTCAGCTAAGGTGGCTGAAGGAGGTGTTTCAATTACTAAGAACTTTGAATTTACCACACATCTTCGAATAGGACAGGGTTCTGGTAACCTGGCACATGATGCCCTAGCCGAGAGTAACAGACAGATGACATAAAGAGGATTCTCCTCTGGGACCTCCAGTCTGATGGTTCAGCGGAGGGGAGTCAGACAGAGGGAATGTTTACAATTTATTCTATTTTTAATTTGAAGTGTTTTTAGTTAACGTTCCTAAAACACTCCTTCACTCTAGGACAGGCAAAAAATATATTTAGGGGTGTTCAGCCATGTTACCCAAATGTATCTTTGTGAATAAAAGATTACACCTCGGGGGCAGCAGCTGTTGACTCATGACTCTCTCTGGGTGAGTTTTGCAGACCTCCCCTCCCATGGTCACAGAGTAACTACTCTGTGTACATGAGGAAAGGTCTATTTTAACAAAGTTTGAGGGGGCACTCTTATCTTCCCTCTACCTCTAATTTTCTCCTTTCTGACTTACCATCTTGGCTCCCCTGATTCTCTCTTGCCCAGTGCATGCACTCACACAATCTGGTCTTTTGCTCTACTTCAGGGGGCTGTATGCCCGGTGTGCGCTCATACTCTGCACTCCGAACTCTGCACTGAATGACCCTAACTGGGATTTTCACTACATATGTAATTACATACCAGCCAGATGACCTTCACATTCTCACACTCAACTGCAAGGGGTTAAATACGCTAGAAAGGAGACAGACACTCTGAAGTATCTCAAACACATAGCTCTATAGTGCTATTACAAGGTACTCACTTTAAGGAGGGACCTCCTCCTCTGCGCCACAGCAAAACATTCCCTACAGGATATTTTGGTAATACTGAGGGGGTGAAGGAGGCCGGTGTGGCCACACTTTTGTCTTGATTGTGGGTGGAGACTATAATGTTTCTCTCAAACCCAGATATCACTCCTCCACATCCTAAAGCAGCATACCACAAGCATATATTGGAAGGATTAGTGTAGCTCTTCAGAAGATGAGACTCATGGCTTGCTGAAGGGTGCTGAACCCAGATAGTAAAGATTACACACAGTTCTCAGCTGTCCATGCCTGCTACTCACAAATTAACTATCTGTTTGTACATCAAAAGACTGATCCACTGCTCCACACTACTCGGATTGGGTCCCCCATGTGGTCAGACCATAGCCCAGTACAAGTTCTCCATGAGTAAACTAGGAGAATGGGCAAAACTTAATGAAGCCCTCCTAAATGATGTTGTAATGGTAGATCAGAAATCTCAGGCCATTAAATCATACTTTGTGGACAACAAAAATGTAGAGACATCCCAGCACACAATGTGGGAATCCCACAAATGTATTCTATAGGGTCACCTAAGTAGTATAACTAAAAAGGTTATAAAGTGTCAAAAAGGTACAGGATAGTACCGAAATTTTGTATTTTCCTCTGAACAAATAAAAGACTGCCTGTTAATGAGAAACCATTGGTTGTGCCCAGATGTATGTATTTGTTCCAGTTAGATTTTGTGTGATAGAAAAAGCTATCATCTAGATATACGGACAGCTGCTAGCAAGATACTAGATGTCTGTGTGTAAGAAAAGGTATCTCAATGTGATATAGGTATTGCCTAGTTTAATCAAATGATTTGGGTGCTGCATAGACAAGACAAGTGCTTGAGATCAGATGTGTAAGAGATAGAGCTGGCCATCATCTTGGTTTGGAATACCCTGTGGGTGTATTCCCCAAGTGACGTGTACATTGCCTCTTGCACTCCTCAGGTACTGGTCAAGGGCAGGAGCTGCGATATCTGTTATGGTTTAATCAAATTACTTGGGTGCTGCATATAAAGACAAGTACTTGTGCATTGCCTCTTGCACTCCTCAGGTACTGGTCAAGGGCAAGAGCTGAGATTTCTGTTATGATTTAATCAAATTATTTGGGTGCTGCATATAAAGACAAGTACTTGAGATCAGATGTGTAAAAGATAGAGTCTACTCCATTGCGGATTTCCATTCTCTAGTGGTGGGAGAAAGTGATCTGAGATCACTTCTTCTATGTGCTGCAATGCATATATTTAGGATTGGTTTGCACTAGCAGATATCTGAAATTCCACTAGGACTCTGGTTCTGGCAGCCTTGAGTGCCGGTCTAGAGGTGTCTATGTACACACAAATAAAAGTGGCCAACACATAAGCTTAAGGGTCAATGGAAACATACTCAGATTTATAGAATTCATACAACCCCTTTCCATGATGCCATTGCTGTTGCATTTCATTTATACAACTCCACTTTATATAGGCTCTTATAGGTTGGGAGGCTGGTGCTGATCCCCTACCACTGACACCCACAAACAGAATATTGAAACCTACCTAACAAAATATGTCACTCTGGGGTTATCAGGCAGCAGAGGCTCTTTTCACAGATATAGAGCTTTCAGGAGTAGAGTTGAGCGAACCCGAACTGTAAAGTTTGGGTTTGTACCGAACATTAAGTTTTTTGGGTTTGGGTGTGTGTTCGGCGATTTAATGGCGCATTTTGAAACGCTGCAGGGCAGCCAATCAACAAGCGTTTGACTCGTGTGCCCTTAGAAGCCATCACAGCCATGCCTACTAAAGGCATGGCTGTGATTGGCCAGTGCAGCATGTGACCCAACCTCTATATATAAGCTGGAGTCACGTAGCGCCGCACGTCACATGAGCTCTTATTAGAGTAGGGAAAGGATGCTGCAGCTGTGAGGGACAGATTAGGAAAGAATTCTGGTGTTGAATCTGCAAACTACAGTGATTATTTTTGTGGGTGCTATACTACATTTTTGTACCCTGCCCTGAGCCCAGTGCCACAGAGAGTGCAGTGCACTTGCAACTGCATGTGTGCCAGGCACATTACTTTAATCCTGTTCTGGTAGCTCAGTGGGCAACATCTAGGCATTTTTAAATACTTCTATTTTTTTGGTGCTAAATAGTACATTTGCATACTGCATTTCTTGCAGACCAATAAAACCCTTAAATACTACTGTTACATTGTTTGTTTAAAAAAATCACACTTTTTTTGTGCTAAATAGTACATTTGCGGCCTGCGGTGCACTTCATATCTGAGAGTCAAATAGAACCGACAAATACTGTGGTTACAGCGCAGTTTTAAAAATTCACATTTTTTTGGTGGTGTGCACTTCAGCAACACTGGCTAGTTACCGCTTCTCAAGTAAGTCTAAAGACTTTTTAAAAAAGTGAAAAATAAGTGTTATTGTGATCGCTTCATATACAGAAGCATTAATATACATTTCTATATTGTGTAAAGACACAACTACAAAGTTAAAAAACAAACACCAAAACAACGTGCCAGACAATCTACCTGTGCATGGCTAGTGTGATACAATAAGTCTACATCTTGGGCGAGACATCAAACAATATTGTAATTCTTGGGCAATATCCTCACAAGTCAAACTGAGAGGTTAGTTTATAGGGAAAACTGTTGCCTGGATACAATTCTAAAACAATTTCCATATGTCCTTTGCAGACTTTACATGCTGGAAAAACACAGGTGCCAACCGCAGTGGCTTTCTGCAGTGGGCAGACCGGCAAGGAGGGCACAGTTGAGGAGTGGGTGGAAGATGATGTGGAGGATGATGAGGTCCTAGACCCCACATGGAATGAAGGTCATACGAGTGATGTGTGCAGTTTGGAGGAAGAGGCGGTGGTAGCACAGAGGCACCAGCACAGCATAAGAGGGAGCAGGATGCAAAAGTGGAGCGGCCGTCCACTAGCGCTCGTCAGCATGTTTTAGCTCTAGAATTACCACAGCTTTTCCAAGTAACAGATGGAGCGATCAAAGGAACCATAACTGATTTAATGAGCCATTCGCAGTTTCACTGTAGCGGCTGTGCACGCTCTTGGCGTTATCACCTTGCTGCTGCTCACCTGTCTGCACTGCAGCATAACTTCGGCCTTCCCGCTCACCGCCTCATATGCGACATGCCCACCTTGCACATGCTGGAGAGACTGTGCGAGCGCAGCAGGCGGTAGTGGAGTTTCAGCTGCAGCACGCACGGGTGCACCAGACTTGCCCTCCAATAGATCCTCGTTAAAGGATTTAAAGTGTACTCATTCCAATTACAGGGCCTTAAAAGAGTTCTGTATTGTTATTTATCGTCACTACCTCCCTGTGTCGGGAGTGGGTAATTTGCGCGCCTGCTGCCTTCCTTGGATGTGGTAGCCGTTTCTCAGGCTCCCTCTCCGGAATGGAACCCCGTTACCCGTGGTCAACATGGTAGGCGCAGAAAGTAACATTGAAAGTTAATAGGGCAGACATTCGAATGTGTCGTCGCCATCATAGGGACGTGCGATTGGCCCAAAGTTATCTAGGGTCACCAAAGTGCCTGCTCAGCAACTGCCGATTTGCCCACATTCTAACTTGTGCTGATTACTGGGTGGCCACCCTGCTGGATCCCCGTTACAAAGACAACGTGCCGTCCTTAATTCCCTCACTGGAGCGTGATCGGAAGATGCGCGACTACAAGTGCACGCTGGTAGACACGCTGCTGAGGGTATTCCCAACTGACACCAGGGGCTTAGTGGAAGCACAAAGCGAAGTTAGAGGAGGAGGAAGAGGTCGCCAACGTAGCTGGAGCACTGCCAGCACCTCACAAGGCAGGATTAGCATGGTCAAAATTTGGAAAAGCTTTGTCAGCACGCCACAACAACCAGCACCACCAGCTGATATGGAACTACTTAGCAGGAGGCAGCATTTCAGCAACATGGTGGAACAGTACGTGTGCACACGCCTACATGTACTGACTGATGGGTCTGCCCCATTCAACTTCTGGGTCTCCAAATTGGGCACATGGCCTGAGCTTGCCCTTTATGCGTTGGAGGTGCTGGCCTGCCTTGCAGCCAGTGTATTGTCTGAACATGTGTTTTGCACGGCAGGGGTCGTTATCACAGATAACAGCCTGTCCACAGCCAACAAGCTCATGTTTATTAAATTGAACCAGGCATGGATCCAACCAGACTTTTCTGTACCTTGTGCAGAATAGACATTTATACTGGCCTCACCCAGCCGTTGTTATACTCAAGTGCACTTTCTCTTTGTTTTCTTTTTTTATATGTCCCAATACTTTGGGGGCTACCCCAATTAAAAAAAAAAACTAAAAAAACAAACAAACAAAAAACAGTGTTGGCTACCTCCTCCACCGCCGCTTCCACCTACACCGCCACGGTCACCACCTCCTCAACCTCCTACTCCACATCCACCTCCTCCTCCTAGAGCAGGGTGCAAAAGCGGAGCGGCCGTCCCCTAGACAGTATGCCTGCTACTGCCCACCGCACCCAGGGACCGAGCACACCAAAGCCAGCTCCAAGGAGTTCCCTGGCGTAGTAGTTCTTCATGTGCTGACGACAAGACACGAGTGGTTTGCATGCTGTGCAATCAGAGCCTGTAGCGAGGCATAAACATTCTAAACCTGAACACAACCTGCATGACAAGGCATCTACATGCAAAGCACGAGCTGCAGTGGAGTAAGCACCTCAAAAACCAAGAAAGGTCTCAGGCTCCTCCTGCTTCCTCTTCTGCTGCTGTCTCAGGCTCTTCCTCCACCTCTGGAGGGACAGTGGCACCTGCCTCCCTGCAAACAGATGATGTGGCAGCAACGCCACCACGTCCACCACCGTCTCCAAGCATTTTCACACTGTCCCATGTAAGCGTTCAGCTGTCCATCTCCCAAACCATGGAGAGAAAGAGGAAGTACCCCCTTACCCACCTGCGATCCCTGGCCCTGAATGCCAGCATTTCAAAATTGTCCCAATATTTTGGGGGCTACCCAAATTAAAAAAAACAAAAACAAATAAAAAACAATGTTGGCTACCTCCTCCTCCTCCACTGCCGCTTCCACCTACACCGCCACGGTCACCGCCTCCTCAGCCTCCTACTCCACATCCACCTCCTCCTCCTAGTTCAAGATTATTATTATTATTTTAAATTTTTATGTATTTTATGTTATTTTAAGTGATTTCCCTATCCACATTTGTTTGCAGGGCACTTGTTCTACTCTTACCCACAATTTACTTCCTTTTGCAGCCCTCTAGCCCTTTCCATGAGTTTTTCGGAGCCATTTTAGTGCCCAAAAGTTCGGGTCCTCATTGGCTTCAATGGTGTTCGGGTTCGGGGTCAAGTTCAAGCCTGAACTTAAACTTTTTGACGAAATTCGGACGAACTCGGCGAACCCGAACATCCAGGTGTCTGCTCAACTCTATTCAGGAGCACTCAAGGTGTCCAATACAGGGAGGTGCCTGGGCCCTGGTGTATTTTTGTGGGAGGTCTTTATCCAAGATTGGATGACTGCTGCCCATTGATCTATTGTGCACTACCTTCTATTGAATTAGAGCAGTGATCGGGCCTGTAAACAAATTTACAGTATTTGTGAATTATATTGTAAAGAAATGTGACCTTGTTTTCCTTTTTTTTTCCTTTTTTATCCTTCTGCACTATACTTCTTTGTTATACATTTTAAAATTAACCTTGTTGCACCCCTGTCAATTAAACCACTGACTCCTAGCACTTCCTCTTTTCTTCCTGGTAGTTTAACTCAAGAGGCAGGCCTTGCAAAGATTTGTCATTGAATTGCATTGATAAGTCTGAATGGCCAGCCACAGAAAGTCTGAGCTGGGGAAGAAGGGAAGGACTTGCAAAGGCTTCAGACAATAGGTCTAAAGCTTTTGGACAGTGTATTTACTTATACACCCAATGAAAATGAATGCATAATGAATTGGGAGTATATCTACTGTATAATGATTTTTACATTTTATCAACTTTTTTTGTATTTGGGCAATGTAGGGTCCCTCTAATGAGATATGGAGAAAAGGCCAACTATGGTCAAAAGATGAATCATAAGAATTTTTGAATACATTTGTTGTTGTTTCAATTACTTCTCTAATTGATATTTAATGAAATGTTAACTGTTTTTGTGGATAAACCAAATGTTTTTTATATCGAGATCAATTGTCTGACAGGTCATTCTTGTTTTTAAATTAAAAAAATAATGCTATGAAGATGAATTACAATAACATAACGATAATAACATAAGCTCTATGTTTTCTTCTTTTAAAGGTCAGCATCGTATTCTGGGAAGCAAAATTTCTAAAGTGCACAGTTTGAAGCTAGATTCCCCTATCTGGAGCAATGAACTAGTTGAGGTATCATCAAATCAATGCATGTTTTAATTTACGTATGAAATACACATAAACTCAAGAGGTGATAATACCTGTGTTGTGATATTCACCTGTTTCTTTAAAATATTTGTATTATCTATTGTTATAATTTTTTGTAGATGTGATTATCTGTTTATACTTTATTATTCTGCGGTTTAAGAACTGTACACATGACTTACTTTATGACACAAGTAAGCATTGTTTTTTTTTGTTTTTTTTTAATGTAACTTCAGCTGAACACCATGCAATTGTTTATTAAACATGGAAGCTTATGTCAGCATTTGATTGTTTAATGTGCTGGGGATGTTTAAGCGTGCGTTTTATATTGTGTGTGTATTATATTATTGATGAATACGATGTGGATACTGCAATTGATGTCATTTTATATAGATGCTCATTTATGTGTTTTATGTGTTATATGTATTGCATAAGAAATTGAAGCTACATTTGATGAAAATGCTGAATGAGTGCTGTGTGCATCTGTGTGCATCTGTGTGTGTGTGTCTGTGTGTGTGTGTGTGTGTGTGTGTGTGTGTGCATGTGTGTGATATAACTCTCTAATCATCTAGATCAGGGGTGCACAAAAGTTAGATCCCCAGTTGTTTTGAAACTACAGCTTCAATGATGCTTTGTCGTTCTAAAGACATTCTAAAGTCATGCAAAGCGTCATGGGAGTTGTAGTTTGAAACCATCTGGGGAGCTACCTTTTAGGCACTCCTGATCTAGATAAAAGGACACCTACTAGCAAGATACTAGATGTCTGTTTTAAAGAAAATGTTTCTCCATGTGATATTGGTATTGCATGGTATAAGATAATTATTTGGGTGCTATACAAACTAGAACTTGAAGTCAGATACGTAATAGATAGATTTTGCATGTGATGAAATAACTATAGGTAGTCTATGTCAGGGTTTACAATTTCCATTTGCTCACTAGCATTTGGAGAGTAAAAATGTGGCCTGGCAATTAGAAATTCACTCCCAGTGAGTGTGCCATTGACCCCTCAGGTTTACAGTTAAACTTGGCTAGTGGCGTAGGACTTGAAAACGCCCTGGTCTATTCATTGGTGTAGAGTGAGTAACAGAAGCATACAGTTTGGGTTCCATGCAAAACATTTACAGCCTTTACAGTTTGTGCATATATGATGATGTCAGATTGCATTGGTTTGTACAGATGTAAAGTGATGTGCGTATAATTCCTATAAATTAAGCCCATAGTGGTGTATTCTAGGTCAGTATTGTAAAAGGAACAAAGAAAATGAAGTATGCCATCATTTTGGAAGAGGGACATGTGGGAATGGGATTGTGATAATGAGATTATAGAGTGAGAATGCATAACCATAAAACATGCAATAATACAGTTTAGAATACAAAGAATGCCGTACATTTGGCACAATAGTGGGGGCAGTCACTTACAGTTCCACTGCAGTGACACAAAATGGAGTTCTATCAGAGAAAATATCACTGGTTCAAAGGCATAAGCAATTTGGTCTTCATGGAGTAAATTTTGGTTTGAATTGCTTTGCACCATAACAACCTTGCATCATTGTAAAGGGTATGGTGCAGGCCTTCATGCAAAGAGCAAATTGTTACTTACTTACCATCTGATATACATTTAACTGTGAGTCTGCCTGATCAAACACAACAGTTTTATGCTTTAAAGCAGTCTAAATAATGTATTTAACTAATGGGTGGCCAATGCTTGTCTGGTGTGTCCCTTAAGTCATATTTTGTATTTGTTTATTGTCATATTTTATGTTCTCTTACAAACTGCTGTTTACCATCTAGAACTATGTTTCTTATCTTATGTTAAAGTTTGTAACAAAAATTAATGACAAATATTTTTCTATAATTTTATGCTAGCTTTTCATTACTGTGGGAAACGCAAAGGTCAACAGCTACTGGGAGGCGAATCTTTTGTCTGGAAGCAACATTAAGATTCATGAGGCTTCGAATATTAACCATAGAAGGTTATATATCACACACAAATACAAAGAAGGAAGATATAAAAAAACATTTTCTCCCAAGCTTTCCCAAGGACAATTAAATGAGGTTGGTGCTAAATGAAAATATTTTGTGCTACAGATCGTCTTGAGTTGAACAGTCACAAATTGAATATGACTTTGTTTATCTAAAAATGCAAGAGTACATTCTATTCAGATCAATACCGTGTGCACTTTGTTTTAGTTGCAGTAGCTTAGCAATAATAGAGACGATATTCAGCACTAAAAACACTGAAACTGTTACATAATAACTAAACTAGAACAATTTACTTTAAAAATTGCAAACGAATATTACTGTTAATTTTTTTAACTGTCTAGTCATCCATGTTTTCTATTTTAAATCAGCAATATGGCACGGTTTACAGTACTTATAGTCATTTATTTATGCTAAATTTTTTATTTTGTTGTGTTAGTCTGCTAAAATTACTGTGCATTGATGACATTTTATAAAGAAGGCATATTTTATGGCCACAAATAAATCAAACTACTGTATTGGTGGTGCAGCTAAAAAAGTTTGACCTTGTCTTACATGTTCAGCTCCAAAGTTTAACTCATTATCTTCTGATTACACTCTGACTTACAAGTATACAGTCAATATCAAATAACAGTGTGCACTCTAGAGTGAGCATATTATTTGTGGTTCTTCTCCTCTGGTACCTGATTCTCTGTAGATGACTATTCTAGAATTTAATTTAAATTATTATTTTTTTCCAGGCTCTATGCAAATCTGTGGTTACTACTGATATTTTAGAAACGATGATATTAGTGTTTAGTGGAGCTGATACCATGTGTACAACAGGTGATACAATTAACAGCACGCCATATCTTTTAGCAAAGGAGGCTGGACAGCGTTTACAAATGGAGTTCTTACATCATAACAGATTCTCAGGTACATTTGCTCAAACTGAGTCAATTAAATTGTTTAAAAACAAAAAAAAGTAATATAAATAAAAACTTTAAACAATATATGTTATATTTCTAAAATATGGGTTGAGCTGTTATTATATCTTCAAAAAGTAAAGTATCTAATGATACCCATGGATGAAGCACCTGTAGATGAGGCAAAATACCTTCTATGGACACGTGATCAACCTCTACTTATAATTCAGATAAGGTCTGCATCTTTCTTTTTCTTAGATAATGCACTTTCACAAAAGAAACCTATCTTAGTTTGTGTTGATATTAGTATACACAAAGCAATTTAGTAGCACAAAATAAAGCAGGAAAAGGTGGAAGATTGGAAAGAGACAGTACAAGTAATGACTTTTTGGTAAATTTACCTGATTTACACAGTCATTTAAGCACTCAGCAGACACTTTGATTGAGAACATTATAGCACTCTAAATGAATCAATCCAATCAACAAATAGGTATTAAAGGAACACTCTAGCATTAGGAATACATAACTGTATTCCTAATGACCCATCTAATTTCAGGCCCCCTTCTCGTTTAAATAAACAAAAAAATTAAATAATCAAAAAATTTACCTTTTCTCCAGCTGCCGTGGCTTTTTTCCTAGAGTTATGTCATCCTGCAGGCATGCCTCCATTGGGGAAGTAGGCAAATGTTCTGTGCCTGCCACGATACGCATAGAATATAATAATTACATGAAACAATTCTCTATGGAAGCCTGTGATGATACTGACCATGCGCACAGTATGTTAGGGTATGAAAGCAAAGCAACTCAGTCCTGGCTCTCAAGTCTGAAAGGTTTTGGAGTGTGGCTTGAAGCTATGTTTCCAAACCTTCTAATTACTAAAATATTTTAATGAATAACTTATTGGCACTTCTCTTATTTTCAAAGCTGAGGGTTTCTTCAATAAACAATGACCTTTTTTTATTACAATGTTTAGGTCATAACAGAGATTTTCAGATTATCTATAAACAGAAAAGTTTTACAAATTTATGCGTGCTTATGTTATTGGTTTTGCATAGTTCCTTAACAATCTTGCCAGTTTATTGTTTCATATATCAACTATTTAATCCATATTTTGACACATAAGCTGCATGCAACTGATTTATTTAAAGGCACAAACTATGCACCATAATCATTTCATCGAATTAAAGTGGCTATAGTGCATGTAGTCCTCTAGCACCCTTCCTCATGTCAATGTTTGGAGTTGTGTATCGATACCCAGATGCCTCTAAGTCCCAAGCAAATGCAGACAATTACATTCTGATTAGCTATATCAACTTATACCAGTGATGGGCTGCAGTTATAGGCTAAGAGCACTCAGCTAATGCTCTCTGTTTATCACTGCTGCCTATTCTGGTCTGGCTAATGCAGTAACTATAGCCTGAGCAACAGAGAATGGCCAAGCTGACAGTGCAAATATTGATCATCATTCAGTTTCAAAACTGTCCTTTATTTTCTCGATTTTCATGTTCATTATTTTTGAAATCTTATATTATTAAAAGTTGCTATTTTACCGTGATTTACACAAAAACACAAGCAAATTAAATACAAATAAATCACTAATTTGGAAAGAAATATTTCATGAATAAATATAATTTTTAGAAATATCCATTAAACTGTACATACAAGTCTTGCTCCAATAAATATTCACATAATTGCTAGAACTTAAAATGTCTACATTCAATAATTTACTGAACATTTTATAATGCAATTATTCAGATTCATTTTACATAATAATACACAGTCAGTATGCTTTTTGCATATGATTTCCCCTATATTTATCATGTATTAGTTGCTGTTTAGTGCTTTACATTTATAAATAATAGACTAACTAAAATTACTTTAGCCATTGCTTTGGAGAACACCAGTTTTCTTTAAAGTTCTTTAAAATCTTGAGATCTCAGCAACCTAACATGATAAGAATATTTGGAATCAGTTTTTTTTTCTTACAATTTTACATTATTTGTTCAATATTTTAATATTTAGCATGTTTATTATTATTATTATTATTACTATTATTATTATTATTTTTAATTTTAGATTACAAACTTTCAGATCTCCCAAACTCTGGAACCCTTCGTAATTTGTTTTATTGTGGATTTTTACATAAAGTTTCTTCAACTTCTAAGATACCCAACAACAGGAAACTCCAAGAAGGTATTCTAATAATTATAATTCTAAAATCGTGTGACAATGAATATAATGTACCGGTTACAACACTATTAGGACCAGCATGCTGAACGTAAGTTATGTCTGACTAAGGTAGATACAGAAAGATATAGAAGCATATTACTGAATCTTGGAATGGTCAGGCTTAGCATGAACCAGAATAGAAGACAATAAGCCAAGGTTAGGGAGACACAGAGAAATGTAATTGAATAGACACGCCAAAGTAGTCTCTTTTAAGTGGGCTATTTTTAAGTAGTAGTTCAAAAACAGAAAAGGAGAACTAAAATCAATGGGGTTAAAAAAAATTGCCTGGAAATTACAGACCTGTGAATTTAACTTCTGTGACTGGGAAAGATTACTAAAGTCTATTAAGGGAATATTTTCAGGATTTCATTGGGTAGAACATTATTAGAAAAAAAATCTGCATTGTTTTATGAAACATGGGTCATGTTAAACTAACCTAATTGCATTCTACAAAGATGTAAGTAGAAGAATAAATCAGTGTTGCAATGGATGTGATCTACTTACATTTTGCCAAGGCATTCAATATGGTCCCATACAATAGGTTAGTGTTCAAACTCATTCAATGAAAATTCTTGTTCTTGGGTAGAACATTGGCTTAGAGATTTTTTGATAGAGTACAGCGACTTGTAATTAATGGCAAATTTTCAAACTGAACAAAAATGGCAAGTGGTATCCCTCAGGGTTCTCTTCTAAGACCGCTTCCATTCAAAATATTTATAAATGATCTTGAAATAGGCAATGGAAGTCATGTTTCAGTGTTTGTAGAAGACATAAAACTCTGTAAAGTAATACAATGTGAGCAGGATATTACTTTGCTGCAGAGGGATTTAGATAGATTGGGGGACTGGGAACTCAAACGGCAGGTAAAATCTAATGCAGATAAAAGCAAAGTTATGCACTTTGGGGCAAAGAACATACACGCAAACTTACAACCTAAATGGTAGTGAATTTGGGATACCAGCACACGAGAAGGATTTGGAAATTGTTATAGACAATAAACCAGGCAACAATATATATATATATATATATATATATATATATATATATATATATCAAGATACAACTCAGTTGAGCTAATCAGTGGCACAATTTAACATTCTGAACAGAACAAAAAAAATAAAATTTTGCTGAAGTGGTTTGGAAGAACTGACATTTTTGCCCTATACAAGTATAAAATAACTTTTTACTGATAAAAATTACTGGTGGAAGTGCCTGTTTACATTGTTTTCTTTTTAATTGGTTTACATACAGTTCCTTGCAAAAGTATTCACCCACCTTGGCATTGTTCGTGTTTTGTTGCCTCACAACCCACAACTTTGAAGATTTTTTTTTATTATTGTGAAGCAAACAACAAATAGGACAAAATAACAGAAAAAGCCAATGTGCATAACTATTCACCCCCCTAAAGTCAATACTTTGCAGAGCTGCCTTTTGCAGCAATCACAGCTCCAAGTCACTTTTGATAAGTATATGAGCTTGCCACATCTTACCACTGGGATTTTTGCCCATTCCTCCTTGCAAAACTGCTCCAGCTCCTTCAAGTTGGATGTACTTGTGAACAGCAATCTTTAAGTCTGACCACAGATTTCCTATTGGACTGAGGTCTGAGCTTTGACTAGGCCATTCCAACACATTTAGATGTTTCCCCTTAAACCACTCAAGTGTTGCTTAAGTAGTGTGTTTGGGGTCATTGTCCTGCTGGAAGGTGAACCCCCGTCCTAGCCTCAAATCACGCACAGAGTGGTACAGGTTTTGCTCAAGAATATCCCTGTATTTAGCACCATCCATCTTTCCCTCAACTCTGACCAGTTTCCCAGTCCCGGCTGCTGAAAAATATCCCCACAGCATGATGCTGCCACCACCATGTTTCACTGTGGGGATGGTGTTCTTTGATGGCTGAAAAGTTAAATTCTAGTCTCATCAGACCAGAGCACCTTCCTCCATGCATTTTCAAAACTCAAAACGTGCCATTTTGTTTTTTGCTTAAAGTAATGGCTTTCACTCTGCCATAAAGCTGAACTCTATGGAGCGTACGGCTTATTGTTGTCCTAGGTACAGATACTCCATTCTCTGCTGTGGAACTCTGTAGCTCCTCCAGAGCTACCTTAGGTCTCTGTGCTGCCTCTCTGATTAATGCCCTCCTTGCCCGGTCCGTGAGTTTTGGTGGGCGGCCGTCTCTTGGCAGGTTTGCTGTTGTGCCGTGTTCTTTCCATTTGGTTATGATAGATTTGATGGTGCTCCTGGGGATAATCAAAGATTTGGATATTTTTATATAACCTAACCCTTGTACTAACACTTGTAATTCTCACCAACATTGTCCCTTACTTGTTTGGAGAGTTCCTTGGTCTTCATGGCAGTGTTTGGTTAGTGGTGCCTCTTGCTTCGGTGTTGCAGCCTCCGGGGCCTTTCAAAAAAGGTGTGTATATGTAATGACAGATCATGTGACACTTAGATTGCACACAGGTGGACATCATTTCACTAATTATGTGACTTCTGGAAGTATTTGGTTGCACCAGAGCTTTTTATGGGCGTCATAACAAAGGGGGTGAATACATACGCACATGCCAATTTTCTGTTCTATTTCTAAACAATAGTTTTATGTATATATTTTTCTAATTTCACTTCACCAACTTAGACTATTGTGTTCTGATCCATCACATAAAATTCAGATGAATAAAACATTGAACTTAATGCTGTAATGTAACAAAATAGGTAAAAAGTCAAGGGGGGGGGATGCTTTTGCAAGGCACTGTACCTTACTAAATACGGAATTCTTAACATTTTATAGATTCTTTTTTTCCACTTATTTGTTCATCATGTCTAGAAATTTGTGGAGTTTTAAAGTATTTCAGACTGTATAGTGTGTTGTACATGTTATGTGTCAAACAAATGGTCAAATATCTCATTTTTTCTATTGTTGTTAAGTGTAGTTACATGGCGACAATTTAGGAGATGCAGATTCCAAAACAAAAAAATCTTATTTGGGTATATATACATATATACTCTAGTCCTCACCAACTACAATGTAACACTGTAGCGTTTTAATGAGTATGAGCCATTTTGGCTCTAGTCCTGTTTAGAATGGGGAAAGTTATATATGTTGCAATCCTCCTACATAGCGCTAGAAGGACTGAATAGAGTTTGATAGAGAATATAATTTATCTACAATAGGGAGATGAGGGTATGGTAACTCTTTGTTTCTTTCCATTAAATTTAAAGTTCAAGCTAAGTGAGGCAAGTTTTTACTGCCTTGTGTGTTTTGTTAATATGTCATTATCTATAATAACAACCAGTTATCTTATATCTATGTATCTCTTGACATTCTTATTATCTGTTTAACCTGCTTTGTATTGAAGTCAGGTTTATTATGTTTTGTTTGCAGTTGCCACTTGTTGGATTTTGTTTTATTTATTTACTTATGTATATTGTATAGGTGACTCACAATTCATTAGAATGTTCTAGAAATTGATCTTAGTAAATATATATCCCCAAGCTCAAGGCCTGAACGCTTGTGTAAAATTTACACAAGTGACACAAATAATTACATAAGATAATAGGAAGTTAATTGACTTCAATTTTTTTTATATTTTACACAAACCAAATTGATTTATGTTTTTTTTTCTTTTTTTCTTTTAAAACTGCATGTGTATTTTTATTCTAGATATGAAGAAATGGTGGTGTACCATTGAGGATAATTTCCTGTGTTATCATGAAAATGAGGATACTTCTGAGCCAGATGGTGTTATTGACTTAAGTGATGTAGTATGTTTGGTTGTTCATCCATCAGATCCCTCCTTGAATTCAGGGTAGGCTATCGTAAACATTAGTATACCGTAATACAGTTTATTTAGTCATTGTGACATCTTATTGCTATATATGTTATGTCAACCTTAAACATGTTATACACATCTTGACTGTGTTTTATTTTATGTAATGCAGTTCTAAATGTCCTACTAAACAGTTTATTTAAGTTATGCCATTCCAATGAGGACTGTATAAGGCAATTTGCATGTTCCTGCCAAAGGTGAAGTAATAGCTAATGAGGTGGCTTTGGATTGGCCTTGATTGTGACTTGAGATAAGGTTATTTAGTCACCCTTTAACCTTAAGTCTACCACATCTAAGTCTACCACATCTATTCTCTCTTCAGTCCTTTTCAACTATTACAGTTGTAATACTCCTGTTTCAAAACTAATAAGATTTCTTCTGCAGATGATAACTTGCTAGTATATACCTCTTTAAGAAAATGAATCAGCTGTGATTGGTATTACAAAATGAATATTTAATGGTATACAAAGGAAACAAGGTAATACCTATATGTAGGTAGTCCAGTCAATCAATAGGTTGTAGACAAAGGTAATGGATGTATAAGGACAACTGTTTTAGCTGTTTAGCTGTTTTAGCTTTTGTCAATTTCCCTGTAATTTCCCTGATATGACTATGGTTACGTAGGCAAAGACAGATAGTACTGTTAGAACGAATAAAAGTGACCGAAACAAAGAGACAATAGAATTGTTTTATACTTTACTTATAACATTTGTAGTGAGGTGGTGGCATCTCCACAGTCAGCAAGACAGGAAGGAAGCTCTACAGCTTTGGTGCTCAATTTCATTTACAAATGTAATGTATTTCCAATCTCCGCTAATATACCTATTATATAAAATGTGAAAACAGGCACGATTACATTTGTATACAGTACATAGAATAATTAATAGATGATGATATTTAATTGATAGGAGGCATTTGCAGTTCTATTTTCAGCACATCATTAGTTGCCATCCTTTGTTCTTGCTGAGTTCCATTAGATATGCTAGAATATCGCAGGTAGGTTTTTTCAGACTTAAAAGTGTAGCTCACCGTGTGAGTTAAAGACTTGCTCTAGGACTGCTGTGGTAGTTATTGTGTTTGTTGTACTAGTTTTGGTACCAGCATGATCCTGAAACCATCGCCTAGTTTTGGGTCAAAACTATTTACAAGCTGTTTGGCCGAAATGAAAATAAATCTAACTAAAGATGGAGACCAACAAGTATGGTAGGGGAAATCACTACACTGGTTCTCTTTTGTCTCCTTTCACAGGTCTCTTCCATTTCTAAATGACATTTTTACTTCACAGCGTCCTTGTTCACTGCAGGTGGCTGAAATGTGATATAATCACCCTCTCCATTGTTTATACAACCTCATGCTGCAAAATTGCCATTTAGCAATAAAGGAAACCTGTGCAGTGAGCTTGAAGGGTAATCTTTCTGACAGGGTGGAGCCAGAACAGCTGGATAGACAGTAGGGGTACCATGATTAAAGGGATCATACCAGTAGAGACAGTGCATAGTTTGGGTTCCTGTCTCTAAATAATGAACTTGCCTAATTATGATGGGCATTAGCATTTGGGGAGTGCTGTTACAGAACAGATCTAAATAAGAAGAACATCAATGAAATATATTTGTGACAAATAGATAAGAAACAGGGCAGGAAAGGACAGGCAGGTATGTAGTGGAAAACTTACCTTATGTCTGGTTGAATAATTTCCTCTGATTGCAGATTGCATTTAAGACATAGCTGTGTACATATACAGCTAAAGAAACAAGTTCCTAAGCAAAGGGGGCAAGCATATGGTGCAGAAATAAAAAAAAACATGTATTTATTTTTTTACAAAAACAATTCTCATTTAAGATTGCAAAAAAATATTAATCAGGCCGAAAGCAATCAAATTCATTAAAGTTGTGTTCGTACCCACAATGTCCTTTTATTTGTTCTGACAAAAATAAGAATGGAGCAATATTTTATAATAATATTTTATATAATTTAAGAATGACTTCTACACGGGACAAGAGAATTGAAAAGTAATGAGAATGATGTGCTTAATGCTATGTTTATTTATGAAAAAAAAAAAATTATATTCAGCAGCGTAACTGGAGCAGCACCTGGACTATGTGCTATTAACATACATTCAAAGGAACAGAATACATTAATTTCTTTATTTTTATGATGAATTGCTAATACTGCACAAAACCTTAGTTGATATGCATATTTATAGATGCACTGATCTTTATTAGGCTGTGGTTAAACAAAAGATTTAAAAAAGGATATATTTGTAATCTGTTTTAGTATATAGTGCAGCAGTTTAAGATATTTTAGCAAAACATATTTTTATCTAGTTGTAAGTACTTAAAAAGCTTATAAAATCGTTAAAAATCATTCTTATACTTAAATATAAATTCCTTCCTAAAAAAATAAAAAAAATCACAAAAAGTGAGAATTCAAAGTGAATTAAAGTGAAAATAGCCCAACTGGAAAAATCTCTGAAACCAGCTATGCTGTCAGTTCATATACTGTGGCCTTAAATATGAAATTCACTTTGAATTCTCACTTTAGTAAATATTCATGATAGTCAAAATATATGAACATATTAATCAGAATAAAGTACTAAAAGAAAATAGCATTCACAAAATGAAAGTGGTTTTAAGGATCACTCGTGACTATCGGGATTTGAGAGGACGTGGATTGATCCACACTATCCTGGCACATCTGTATTTTGTGTTTTGTTTTTTTTTGAGGAAGGAATATATATAGAAGTGTTCTATAAGGAGTCTAATTAGGTTATTCACTAACATTCGAATGGCCCTATGCCTAATGGGGCAAAACCATATTAGGAAATATGGAGGCCAGTCTGGATTGTGTAAATCAGGCACCTACCTTGACCTGAATGTCTGTTGTACCGATCGCTGCTGGCAGCTAAAATCTGGCCTGAATTAATTAAATCCAGCCCCGCAAGGTTTCAACTTTGGGCCTAGTGTTAAAGTGGTTGCTAGCCAGTCATCAAATAAAAAATCAAAATAAAATAAAGCATTAAAAATCTTATTGGGGGTCAATAAACCCAGTCCTACACTAACAATTTACCTTGCTTCCTTCAACTTCAAGCAAAACATCTCTAATGGGACAGAAAAGGAGTATTTTTCTAAACCCCTACATACTTATTAACAATGAATAGTAGTGGTAGTAGTAGTGTACAGGTAACTTTTTTCTTTAGAAAAATAACCCTCTCTTTCTAATTAGAGATATCTTTGCCTGAAGCTGAAGGAAGAAAGGTAATTTATTAGTGTAGGAACTCTTTTCTTTGGGTTTTATTGTATGTATTGGGGCTGATGTATGCTATGGTCATTGCTGCTGACCAGGAGTATTGGTAGTCTGAGCGCAGGATTTATTTTTGTGTATATCAGAATAACATGGATTGCAGGATAAAACTTAACAGGAAAGGTTAAAGTAACTTAAAGGACCACTATAGGCACCCAGACCACTTCAGCTTAATGAAGTGGCTTGGGTGCCAAGTCCAGCTAGGTTTAACCATTTTTTCTATAAACATAGCAGTTTCAGAGAAACTGCTATGTTTATATTAGGGTTAATCCAGCCTCTAGTGGCTGTCTCATTGACAGCCGCTAAAGGCGCTTCTGCGCTTCTCACTGTGATTTTCAGGGTGAGAAGACGCCAGCGTCCATAGGAAAGCATTGTGAATGCTTTCCTATGGACTGGCTGAATGCGCACGCAGCTCTTGCCGCGCATGCACATTCAGCCAAGGAGGAGGAGAGGAGACGGAGAGGAGGAGGAGAGTCCCCCGCCCGGAGCTGGAGAAAGAGGTAAGTTTAACCCCTTCCACCCCCTAGACCCCGGCAGGAGGGGGACCCTGAGGGTGGGGGCACCCTCAGGGCACTATAGTGCCAGGAAAACGAGTATGTTTTCCTGGCACTATAGTGGTCCTTTAACATGTATAGCTTGGAGGAAAGACGAGACAGGGGGATATGATAGAAACATTTAAATACATAAAGGGAATCAATACAGTAAAGGAGGAGACTATATTTAAAAGAAGGAGAACTACCACAACAAGAGGACATAGTCTTAAATTAGAGGGGAAAAGGTTTAAAAATAATATCAGGAAGTATTACTTTACTGAGAGGGTAGTGGATGCATGGAATAACCTTCCAGCTGAAGTGGTAGAGGTTAACACAGTAAGGGAGTTTAAGCATGCGTGGGATAGGCATAAGGCTATCCTAGACTTAAGATAAGGCCAGGGACTAATTAAAAGTATTTTGAAATATTGGGCAGACTAGATGGGCCGAATCCATAGCTGGCAATAAGATTAAGAACCCAGTTACCGAGTTTTAATAAAGATATCCCTTACCTGTTTAGTTCAACTGAGAGTGGAAAATGTATGTGTTGGTCATGTATGAATATTAAATATATTAACGAACTATAGCATATCCTGTAGCCCATGGATCAGCGCAGCTAAGAGGAATAGGCCTTGACAGAGCCAGGAGGTAGGCATAGCAGCCACAGGAAGTTAGTGACAGCTAGCATGCTGGGTAGGGCGGAGCCATAAGGGGAGTATTTATACCGGCCATTATATGAAGTGGCCATTTTAACTGAACCTAAGCTTACCTGTTAGTTGTCCCTCCCACCCTCCCTGTATTTGCTTAGGTTAATTGATTTCCCGTTTTTTTCACAGGAGGGTAGATGGAGGAGAAAGTGGGCATCCTGAGGTTTAGTGTGGATTGGGCAGTGTTGCACGTGGTTGGTAGGTTCGAGCCTGTTGGTGGCTCCGAACCTGGGGGTGTGGTGGTGTCTTGGTACACCCTACACTGGAACTGGTGGGTAGCTGTGTCTTGGTACACCCCTACAATGGATATGGTGGGTAGCGGTGTCTTAGTACACCCCTACAATCGATATGGTGGGTAGCGGTGTCTCGGTACACCCCTACAATTTAACCTGGTGGACATGTGGTCATATTGGGCGGCCAGTTTCTGTATTAACATGTTATTTAGATTATCTATTGTTATTATTGTGGGGTCATTGCTAGGGGTATGTTATGTATATGGGGGGATGTTAAGATATGTTGGCAATGACCCCATTTGTTATTCCTTAATTTTTATTAATATTTTAATAAAGCTGTGGACTAATTATTTCCAACAGTATAATCTGTGTCTGTGTTTTAATGGGGGTTGCCGGTATTGCCGGTAAATTCGACTGTGCGCCTTTCATGGCATTTATTTGTATTGAATAAGTTAGTTCAACAAGTAATAGATAACTTACTCTTCATATAAAAAAAAAACCTATAAGTTCACACTCAGGACTAACTCTTTGTCATGCTGCATGCCTTCATTCTAAAGAACTAGTTCACAGGAATTTTTAGACATAAAATGGCTCCATGTATTAATATTTCATTATTATTCAATAAACATGCATAAATTATTTATGTGTTCAATATTATTGAAGGCTTTTTCTAAAATAATGTAATGATACTCTGATTCAAATCATTTTCTACATACAAAATCTGAGAATTAAAGCTGAGTCTGTGAGTGCCACAAATAGGATATGAAAAGTGTGATTAATAAAATGTTAAATTCTAACTAATGCACACATGAAAACTAGGTTTTTATTAGTAATTGCAAAGTCATTAAAACCTTCGGTTTCCTTATCAGTGACAAGCCATTTTATTTGTATGTAGTGAAACAGTAATACAATACCAAATAAAAAAGATAAACTGACTTTGCTTTCAAAGATTCAGTTCCACATTTCACTAATAACATTTAAGTGCTATTTCAATGTGACTAACACTTTCCCTTTAACTATTATCACTTTGTTACTTGTATTGTTAATTTTTACAGTAAAATGTCTTTAAGTTTGCGTAATCTATTGTCTTAGGAGACACAGCCCCATATAGCATTTTAAACACACATTTTATATTGTATCCTTAAATATTTTAATTTGTAGGTGTTAATAAACTTATATTAAATTTTAATAACAATTTACATTAATAACACTGTAATGTAAGGAAATGTTTGCACAGAAGCAATAAAGGAACATGGTGCATTTTTTTTAACTATTATATAATATATATTGTACAATTTTAATATATTACAATATTATTTTAAGGAGAATATGACCATATAATGTGCAAAAATCTGCCAATTTTAGATATTCTACTCCTAATTTCTTAATATGTATTATGCACAGTATCAATGGATTTCCTATATATTTAACAGTGACACCCTGCTACGATTTATAGTATACTTTGAATAATAATAGGGCACCTGAGTAGGATGCTAAATTACTGAATCTAGTTCAAGGGAAACTACAGTGTCAGGAAAACAAAGTTGTTTTCTGGGCACTATAGTTCTCTCCAATGCCCCCTCCCTCGCAGCCACCTTTGTGGTGCAAAAGGGGTCACTTACCTGATTGCAGCGCTGAAGTCCCTCGCTGCTGGTTCAGGATCTGCCTCTAACGACGCCAGCCGGTGAGGGAATCTAATGCGAATGTGCGACGAGCACTGCAATCGCATTAGGACTTATCCATAGGAAAGCATTATTAAAACATTCGTATGGGATTTCGGGTGACACTAGATATCCTAATGCATAGTGTGAGGACGTTCAGCAACTCTTAAATGACCAAAAGTCACCAAACGACCCAGAAGTCCCTTTAGTGTTCCTTGAAAGAGGCAATCTAATCAACATAATCACTACAGACTGTTGTACAGACGTTTCTCAAGTTATTTGACAAAAAACATGTTTGTCAGACTCCACACTACTGTTGCTTGCTTGTTGTATATTGTTAGTGTGGAATTTACAATTCTACAGTAGTAATATCAGTTTCATCCAGTCTTGGACAACAGTGATAGGCTGGGGATTTCACTGCATGTGCAGAATGTATGTTGTCAATTCTGAAGTATAATCGACAGATTATAAAAGTGGAATCAAAGAGAGAATGTTCCCCCACAGCCCAAGGGAGGAGAGGGGGAACACACTCTGCTGGCTTTAATTGAATAAATAGGGAATAATGCAAAAAGAAAAAACTGCAACCTGTTAAAATATGCTTAGATCCCAGGAAACTAGAAGGAGGGTAACCTGCTCATGGCTACAAAGTCTCCCATAATATCCACAACAGAACTACTTTATTGATTTACAACATAAAAAGGGGTATATCAGGAGACAGTGCCAGGGCAGGACCCTAAAATGCCAGCAAGTGTCAGCCCAGCTATTTAAAGCGTAAGGTGAATCCACTTCAGAGCAAAAGGAATAGTCAGTAGGGGCTAAAGATATGCCTTCAAAAAACAGACTGAATGGCTCTTGGGTCTTTCACCTAAGCGGTGCCCTGAGCTAATACTAAAAACAAGATGGTCTGGGAGGTTCTAATACTGTCCCTTACTGAGCCAAAACTGAATTTTGGCTCAGGGACTCAGGGGACTCAGTTTTGGCTCAGTAAGGGACAGTCTTAGAACACCCATGAAGGTGTTTTTTAGGAGCATTAGGGATACTATATTAGCATGGACACTGCCAGACTTATGATTCAGAGAAGCTAGAGATAGCCACTCCTAAAAGTTTAGTATGTCCTTTAATATATTGTCTGGTCCAACTCCATGTATATCATATAGACGCACTCGGGGACCTACTGCGCAGGTGTGGCAATTGCCCTGCTCTAGCAGTTGGATGCATCTTAGAGAAGTCTCAAATCCAATGCATTCACATGATTCAGTGTCATAATGCTGCAATAATTGAAAGTCTTCCACGAGTAAGTCCCTCTTGTGGCTTAGGGTCGGATAGCCACTAGATGTGTGTTTCATTGAAACAGCAATGTTTTACATTGCAACAAAAGTTTAGGGTCTCAATATGATAGGGTCTATGTAACAAAACGACTTCGTTAAGATGAAGTGGTTTGGTACATTTAATAATGTTGATGGTTCAAGAATAATGTAAAATGTTCCTTTTAGTACTAAATCACATGGTGGCTAATTGATCATTTGGAATTATAATGCTGAACCTGATTTCCCTTATAGTTACGGACCACATAATAGCAAGTAGAACTGCATACTCATATCAACATCAGACACCCTGGTATGAGAAAGTGATGAAAGCGATACTTATGTATGCAAAGTGAAAATATTCATTGAGTTTTAAAAATGTGAAATTAAACAGAAAATTCTTATTTATGCTTATTTTCAAAACTGAAATTGTGTGAGTTCATTTCCAGTCTATTCAATTATAGTTTAATTTTTTTTAAAAAAATTGTGACACATGCAAAATAATTTGAAAAAAAAAGATCTTGTTAAAACTACCTCCATAAATTTGCACGTCTCTTCCATATTTTAATGTGTATTCTGTTTTATTTTAATAAAATATGATGTTAAAATGCACCATTGATAATGCACCTGTAGCTATGAAGAAGGGTCACATAAAAATTTAGGCATGCACCAGAAGTATATCTGACATGAGATGGCTGGGACAACTTCATACTAGGAAAACTACCTATGCCATAACCAATTTTTTATAAAAATCTCTCTGTTCTTCCTCCTCCTCCAACTCTTCTATGCTTCCACAATTTCCATATAGTTTCAGTATGTTCTACCTAACACTGTGCGCAATATTAGATGTCATTCTTCTGTTATTTGCCAACTTTTATTATATATAGTGTTTGAACAGATACTTCTAAAGTATGATGCTTCTAATTTATCTATCAGAAATCCTCAATATGAACTTTGAAGAAACAAATATGCAGATTTGATTAGAGGCACTGGTAAATCTAATAAAAACAAACAGCTGATTAGAGACATGAGAGCTAATACATGAGTGGTGAAGGAAACAAGAGGGTTTGACCCATAGAGGATAACTGGAAGACTTAAAGGGACACTATAGTCACCAGAACAACTACAGCATATTGTATTTGTCCTGGTGAGTATGATCATTCCCTTTAGACTTTTTTGCAGTTACCACTGCAGAGAAAATGCAGTGTTTACATTCCATTCTAGGGATACCCCCACTGGCCACTCCTCATATGGCTGCTAGAGGTGCTTCCTGGGGCAATGATGCACAGTGTGCTGCACTGCCATTCAGTGTCTCCACCCTGTGCATGAAGACACTGCACTTTCCTCATAGATATGCATTGATTCAATGCATCTCTAAGAGGAGATGCTGATTGACCAGAGCTGCGTTTGGCTTGTGTTGGCTTTGCCCCCTTATCTGCCTCCTTGACAAGCTCAGCCAAACCAATGCTTTCCTATGTATAAGCATTGTGATTGGCTTTTGATCACCACTTCTGATGATGTCAGCCGAGCAGGAAAATCAGGGGCAGAGCTAGCAGTAGCAGCAGACTGGAATAAAATTAAATGTTATATAGTTAGAGCAGTGCAAGGGTTGGTCAAGGGGACTAAATGGTGGTTTTAACACTATAACAACATGAATACATGTTTTTGTTCATGCCCTATACTGTTCCTTTAAGGGACTCTTATATATACTTGGAGGGATAAAAAACCAAGTGCCTGAGGGAATTAACAGTCTGCAGGAGACACTTTTAGGTGAAAGGTAGGTGCTTTACAGTTTGGGGTACAAAATCTTAATACAGTGGGATCAAGGGTTATACAGCAGGTATCGAGTTTTTAAATGTAGGTTCAATCAAAGATTTTGTGCTGCACTGTGATTTATAGAATCAATTAGGATTGGACTTATGGGTTAGTGTTGGACTGGTTTTATGAGTTTAGACAATATATGCCGTATGTGCCATAAAATGTATCCTTGGGCTGAAGCTCCTGGTCTTTTTGCCACCTAACAATGCTCTGGTTACTGGATCTTGCTTATTTTGGTGCTCCCATATTGTAATAAAGGAACACCCCAAGAATGATAACTTTTACAACTCTACTGTACCGGTTATGGTGCTAAGAATGCTCTGGCGCCACCTCCAGATTAAGTAATCAAGCCAATTAAGAAGAGTTTGACAACTTGCTTGGAACCTGCTGTGGCCTTAAAGTAGCTTCCAGTTAGCTCCATTAAGCTAATATGTGCCATGAAGGGCTATGCTTATGAGGGCAGCACTGCATTACTGGGCTTAGCTCAGTGGCAAGAACATCTGGCAGGAGTGCAGTTGAAGGCAGGCATCCAGCACAAAACCTATCTTAAATTGATTGTCTACTTAATCTGGCACTCCTGATCACATGACCCCTACAATGGACTTTTGTACATACACTTTTCTCATTGGCTCTTATGTATGTGCAAAGCATTACATTTGGAGATACACAAATATATGTGCATATACATGCATCACTGTAAAATGACCATTTTAGTGACAGTATTACATTTTGTCATTCCATGATCACGAGGATTGAAGGAACAACTCCAGTACTAGGACAGAGATTTTAATCTTTAATGCCCAACATCGTGTTATGCTTTCCATTTAAACATTTTTGCTACTCCTACACTGTACTGTATGGTTGCTAGAATATAAACAATTGAAAATGGTCATAAATTAGCTTTGAGCTCAACTCAAAATGAAAAAAGTGCTATGTATTTTGTCATTTAAAGGAACTGCTACAACTCCACTTAACCTCTTAACAATTGCCACTAATTCTGCTCAAAATGACAAAATCTCTAATAGAGACTGTTATTTATACACCATGTTAATAGGTTCTACAACCATTTCCAGCAATGCTCAGATACAAGGAAAAACATATTGCATCTAGCATGAACCCAAGCTTAAAAGGGCAGCAATCAGAATAATTTTCTGTTAATGGATGCAATAGCACACTTCTGTTTGCTACTGAACAATAATTAGTTTTACCTAAATGTATTGCTTTTAGTGTGATCAATGGGACATATTAGAGGTTGTGCATTTAGCTCCTATTATTTGGCTGACAGACTTTTTTAAAGCATAAGTAAGTGTATTTTATATTAAAAGTAATAGCTAATATAGTAGATGCAAACTTGTTTACAGTTTTCCAAGGGGGGAGGTCATCTGTGAAGAAAAAAAAACTCTTGTAGTATATATACTACTAAATACAAAATTAAACATATAAATTGGGTACAGTAATCTGAATGACAATACTTGCTACACATGTTTTACTATCTTCCCTTTCACGTTCCATTTCTTTTATATTTTGCATTTTCAAAATGATGTGCTTGATAACTCGCTAACGTTGTTATCTTCATTTGTCTATTTTTTTCTATACTTAAAAATTTATCTCTTTAATCATTATTAAATTTTTATTCTTCGACTGTACTTTTCATATGAGCCCAAGTGATTGAACACATATTTCTTAGCTAGAACTTAAAAATACATACTGCCATCATCATTATGTTGAAGATAACATTTTGCATTTGTTTAAATAATTTAAAAGGTAATATATCACTATATCATAGTTTATAGAAATAATTCTATTCTAATATTTAAAACCTACAGTGTTTTAATATGGCTTTAGGAAATGAGCTGTAAATCCATAAAATATTGTACAAGATGAAATTGCTAGTAGAACGAAGCATTCTGAAGTTAAATAGTCAAAGCGATGATTGATTATTTGCAAAAATGCAATTTAATGATATTAAATACACGTTTTGCTGTATTATTTTTGAAAATTATAAGAGAACAATTTGTGTCACATCAAAGACATCCTGTAAAAACTAGAGCATTGCACTAAAAATAAAACACATCTAAGGGTTTCAATATACCCTATATTTTCTATATTTGATATAAGAATTGAATGAGTATTCTAGGAGGGCATGGAGCTGCCAATGCTTTAGATGAGAATTAAGCCTTTAGTTATGTTAGATTATAAAATCTAAATACAACTATATTTGTTTCTTTCTTTGCTGTAGGGCTTTCTTCACTTTCGAGATTTATTTATTGTCAGAACGTATGTTTCTTTTTGGAACTGAAAATACAGAATCTCAGAAAGAATGGACGAAGGCAATAGTAAAGGTAATACTGATATTTATCTGATAAAATTTAAGCCTAAGGCATTAGCGTGGAATACATTGGCATTGATATTTTTTAGTTCTCAAAGGAAAGTTCGGTGATTATTTTTTTATAATGATCTGCATAATGTGTGATTTTCAAAGTGCTAAAGGGATTAGTGCTGCAAAACCTGTATAGCAAGTTCCTCAGAATATAGATTGTCTCCAAAAATATAGTTAATTCCACTTTTTTTCATTAAGTTTCTCTCTATTTCTCTCTGTTTGCCATTATCTGTTGTGTCACAAACACTTTTGTAGTCTTCATTGCAAATTATTCACTGTATTTTAATTATTTCTTATTGTATTTTTCTATATTAAAGCATACGTAAGTGTCTTCTTGTATTATTCTATATTAGTTTAATGAGGGCAATTTGGTCTTTCTTCAGAATGCAGTATTTCCAATTATTAATTTCCAAGTATCCCAAAAATCATCTAAGATGCAAAACAAAAGCAGGTTTTGCATGAATGCTGACTTTCTTTATCTTCAATATTCTGACTGGAAATAGTGTTTACAATGGTCAACCGCAACATTAAAACTACCTGCCTAATACTGTGTAGGTCCCCCTCATGCTGCCAAAACAACTGTGATGTGTCAAGGCATGGACTCCACAAGAACATTGAAAGTGCCCTGTGGTATTTGGCACCAATACATTAGCAGCACACACTGCATCCACTATACACCTACACCTCATCCACTATACACATCCTACTCACATACTACAGGAGGGGGCGGAGTCAAAGGCAGAGCCAATGGGGGGTGGCAAAATGAGGCTTTGCCTAGGGTGGCAAAAATCCTTTACCAGCTCTGTATTACATACAGTAATACAATTCTTTAATACATTTCTCTCTTTTGGGGGTAGTTGTCAAATAGTGAGTTGTACGAAGCTGACAATTAATTCACAAACATAATGCGAGACAAGTTGAAAATAAAAATTCCAATATGGCTGAGATTTGATTCAAGCTTGCTTTACTTACATTACATCTTACAACTTGTTTTTTGACATCAAATGATAAACAGGATTATTCACAAAGGTGAGAATTGTCAGCGGATTCAAGTGAATTTTAAATTTCAGACTAAAATTGTTACA